GGTTGTATAAAAATGTTGTTTACTATAGTTAGTGAAAGAATTGACCAACCAGAGTCATTTATTTTTGAGCTAATTACGATTTAACTACGCAGAATGTAGTTAAGAGGTTTATACAACCGGACTCTGGTTAACACTTGTCCTAAGAATCTGGGATGAGGATGCAGGGAAAGAGTTAATGACGTGGAACTAGAAAGGAATCAGAATTTTTGTTGATTTTAAATGAATGTTTTGAGTCAGCAAGACGCAAACATGCTGACCTAAGAGGCAAAATAAATTCGTGATTCATCGAGGATTAATCTCACTAATATAACATCAAATCCAGAGGAAGTCGTTGGTTTTTTGTTTGAATGTGTATTCATACGTATGGACGTCGTTAAAAAAGTTGTCGATTTGGATTTCAATCAGGAATGTCGGTCAGATGTCGGTCGGATGTCGGTCCAACACCCTGCCTTACGTGTCTGGTAGATGCAAACATGAAAGAACAAACATTTAACTAGAAATGAGAATGTCAACAGAAAAAGTCTATAACTAAAGTCTATGACATATTTCTGTTCCGGGTGGTAACTTCAATTATGCGTTTATTATAAAGCTTGTTTCACGACGTTAGACCAACGTTATACACGGTGTATCCATAAAGGCAATGCAAATTATAAAAAGACGTTTGGTCGCTGGAAACACCAGTAATAACGTATTCTACTTCGGTTTTCAGTTTAAAACTATAAAAATACAGCCGTGCATGGATGTTGAAATAATTGCCAGAAGAGAGGTAAGTGATTTATTCGCAAATTACTACATGGCGAGTTAACGTTTAAGTTTGATAATTATATAATGACAACATCAGTAGCTTGCGCTGCTCGATTGATAACAATTGCATCTAAACAGAAACCATTCCTCAGGCTCTGCTGTACCTGAGATATATATGATAATTATGCCCGTTTGCATGACACATCAATTTATTACCATGTCTCAGACTGAAGCCCGGGTCTGGTTGTATAAAAACGTTGTTAACTATAGTTAGTGACAGAATTGACCAATCAGAGTAATTTATTTTTGAGTCACTACGATTTAACTACGCAAATGTAGTTAAGAGGTTTATACAACCGGACTCTGGTTCACATTTGTACTAAGAATCTGGGATAGGTGCGCATTTTGCTTTGTCTAGTGGGAAATAATACAATGGACCCCCGATTCTAAGGAGCTAGAGGACGAAACGAATGCAAATGAACTTAAACAAAGTCTTTAGCTCAAAGACTTTATCATTAGGTTCGGCACGTCAAAAGTTCGACGTCTGAAACAGGCCAAAGCTAATCGAAGTTAAATTGAGTACTAAATCTATAGCCTCTTAACATATTAAAATGGTTTAATATGTAATTACTGAAAAAGGTCTATTGGTTGGTACTCAGTCTATTGTTACGTCATAGTCACTAACTACAGGGTGTATAAAAAAAAACGCAACCACTTAATATTCATGAATATCTTCTTTGTTTTCTACAACACAAAAGACGTTTGGCCCGTGGAATGCGAGAAAGCTTGTAATCATATTCTAGCGGCACAATCGTCGGTAAACAAAGTCGGGTGCGTAAACCAACGAGCTGAATTGAAAGTATTTAACGAGTAAATGTTATTACAATTTATTTTACAAGGTCGACAGTTAGCATTCAAGTTATCATGCACGACAATAAAAACTCGTTGTTCGGTTGTTAGCTGCACCATTATTAGTTTAGCTGATTTGACTATTAGCAGTTGAATTGTACGATAAGAAGCCATTTTAAAATCCCAGGGGCATAAAATCTATTCAGCTTATGAACAATATGAATTTTAGAATATTAAGTGGTTGCGTTTTTTTTGAGACACCCTGTACAGGGTGTCTAAAAAAACCCCGAAAACTATTGACATCACTTATTGTTAAAATTTGAATGCCGTGTTCACGATTTTTAGCCCGTGGGGATTTAATTCAACTTATAAAATGCTAGATAAGAAAAATTTGAAATTGTGAAGTGATTAAATTTAAATTAGCCTTGTTATAGCTTCGAAAGAAAATGGTACAACTGACCGCGGAACAACAAGTGTTTATTGTGATAAATTATACGCGCACCCAAAGTACAACGGAAGTACGAAACGCTTCTCGACGAAGGTTGACAAAGGAACTTTTACTGCATCATGCATAAAAATGCTTATGGCAAACATTTATGCAATTCTATTATTATTCAACATGGCGAAATTTTCTCTCTTTTAAATAACCTTGCCGGTATGACTGCTGACCAAACAAATTAAAGCCCCGTTCGATCTGACGAGTTTCATATAATTTCTAAGCTATCGATCTTATGGACGGATGTAATCAACTACAGCGTGTATAAAGAAACAGATTTAAATACTAATAAATAGACCTTTTCAGCTTGTATGCAAATTAAACCATTTCAGATGTTGTGACCATGGAATAGGGAATAAAACTTCACCTTGCATACAAGGTGAAAAGGTCTATATTGAAAACAATTGTTGCTTTTTTTTACGCGCATCTACATTTGACTTGGATTTTTATCATTTCGCTCATATGATTTGTGCCAGTTGCATTGAGACAATTACTGATAAGAAACCTTATCAATACAGCTGTTTAATTCCCTTTCCAAAACTCCGTTATTAATTTTGCTCAAAATGTCAACATTAGAATATTACACGAACATGTTTTATTATACGACACATTTTGCCGTTTCTGAAAGCGTCGTGAAATTATTCAAAATTAAGTTCATTACTCATAAAAACCTACTTTCAATTCCTTGGCCCGCGTGTGAAATGGAATACAAAACTGAAAATAGATCCTCATGCAGAATAGGAATGTAAAAGGGGATTTTTGTAGAGAAAAGCCATGATTATACATTACAACTGTAACTATGCACGTGAGTCTCGGCTTACACTGCAAAGTTTTTTGCATAAGCTTGTAAATACATGCCGCGTGATCGACTTTGAGATACAGGGACAGGTTGTATCAAGCCCGTTTAGCTTAAATGATTGATAAGATCAAAATCGAAAGCAAGTCTATTATTTTATTCAACAAGCAAACTATAGGTTTTCAACGTCAATACAAACTGATATACTGTTTACAACTAAATTCAGTGCATAATAATATTCAAGTTATTCAAGAGAGACGTAAGAGTGTTATAATTTAATTTTGACTTATGTACTGTTTAAGCTAAATTAACGGGCTTGATGCAACCGGCCCCAGACAATCAAACGGAACAGATCCTGTATTAAGAGTTTGACTGAGCACATTTCAAAAGAAAGCGATCGCAAAAAATCAATTGCACGACTTCCTAAACTGAATGGAAATGCGCCTTTAATCAGAGATAAAAAACTCATTTATCTACGTGTGAAAATTGATGGCATTGAACGACCATTTCAAGGACGTCACGTTCGTATTCAAGTTTCCGGAATTGAAGTAAAAGGTGTCAGAACTGACATCGCCAAGTCCAATCAAGGCGCCATCGTGCGAGAATAGTCGTGGAAATTGTTATCTCTGACTCTGCATCAGCGAGTGGAAATACATTAATATTTGATTTCAGGTGGCACCCACGATAAAGTTTATGCATATGACAAACGACAAACTTTGAGTTCGGGAAACCTTCACATTTGTCACATTTCTGATATATGAAGAGTAAAAATGTCATATCAGCGAGAAAATGTTTAGTACGCTGAATGCGTGCATCCACTTTTCAAACAGAAATTCGTCCGAAAACTTGCCATATGGCATTTTTGCTCGTTTTTTTTGTTCCAGCATGTGAGACAGATCTTAACGAGATGTTGCAAGTTGGAGATGAAAAACTTTAGTAAATAAAGACGATTTTAATCGTTGTCTTCGTCAATTTTGATGTTGCTATAGCCACCAAATTTCATTCGATTTAATCACACACATGCCAATCTCCCAAAAGATTCAATTAAATGTTAAAATATTATACTAGAACTTTCTATAAATCTTAAATCAGATCTTACTGTAACTTAAAATGAAACCACACGTGAATTTTGATTTCATTTTTGTTTTTAAGAATTGATATATTGGTTAAGAAGTATAAAATCCCTTCAAATACTCAGAAATAAACTATGTGTACCTGCCGTGACAAAGATAAAGAAGATTTATTATCTTGAAATATTAAAAGTTGTTACTTGGCAGGATTCACTTGTTATATGCATTCATTCATATTTCATTAATACAATATTTCATAAATGTCTTCAAAAGAACATGTGGGTTGATTAAAACACGTCTATTGCACATGTAGCTTGTGTATACTTTATGCTCGTTTATTAAAATTGAGGCGAAGCGAGCTTGTTTTGAAAGAGTGAAATGAAGATCTCAAAACTTCGTCATGGTAAAATTGAAGTCAATTGAAATTGAAAATATCTTTGCAAAATATACCGAGATTTATTATCATTACAGAAAGTGTTTGAACGATGTGTATAGGATTGAATAATATAATATAATATTTGTGTGTAAGTTTTGAGCGGGTTAGTTTCTTACACGCTCAACTTCATTAGAATTTAGGATAGTTAAGAGCGTAAATTTTTACATTTAAGACATCGTCATGATCAGTTTCAACCCAAATATGATTGACATTCGGCAACAAATCAGTTTAATTTGTTCATACCGGTCAATTGCCTTTGCATCAAATTCAGTTATTAAAAAAACCAAATTTGCGGAGTGCGGACCAATGTACTATTAGGATTGCAATATATAAGTATGAGTTCAAAGCGTTCGAGAGAAGTGAAAATTATCACCTTGTTGTGTACGGCACTCATACCGTGTCGGCACGCGCCCGTTACAGAAGTTCAATTTTGCATTACATTTCAAGTGTCATTTTGTTAATTCTTTATTCAAACATTAAGCAAGAAAGGCGGTATATTCATTACATTCACGACAATGTGCTTATAAATTGCTTCTTAATTGAAAAGGAAAATTTACATTAAAAAGCAAAAGGTGAATCTGTGCTTCGTCAAATAAAAGTTGGCTTCGGTCGAGTCAAAAACGAGGAAACAAAAAAAGAACGTATATTCTTTTAATTTCGCGTGAACTTTGTGCCATTGACATTGGTTTCGAAAAGGTAAATATTTTAATGTTTATAATATGATATTGTGGTTTAATTTGATACCGGTAGCTATATTCCCGTTTATAGCATTCTATTTCTTGAAGTTTGATTTAATTCACAAAGCTTGACACAGGAGTGGGCTTTTTTAAATAGAATTTGATAAACTTTGGGCTAGTTCATGTAGTTCTATTTTGACGATGAAATATTTTCTTTGCTAAATGTCTGATTTATTCCTCGCTCTTCACTGATCCCAATTTCCGTTCTGTATATATCACACACGAATTGAATGAAGCAGTACCAGTATGTTACATTATATACTGCATATTGTGGCATTGGATAGTGAAAATAGTGCCGTAAAGCGCGACATTATTTACTGTAATTTAAAAATATACATATTTGCATATTCGAGTATAAAATCTAAAATCCCTAAATCTGAAATAAACTTACAGGTGCTTACTAAATCACCGACTTATATTTCGTGTACCAATGGATAGATTCATTATTTTCTTAATATTTCTGCATGTCATAATATTATGCGCGTGCATGTCTATGTGTTGTAACAAATGTTTACAACGTCACCCGTGTTATCATCGTTTCTTTGAGAAACAGGAAATTAATGGCCACCTGTGTTTCAATCGCTCAGCACACAAAACGAAATTACTTTCGAATTTTGTCATCTTCATTCTGGTTGCACAGGAAGAAAATATTATTTAAACGTCCTTTAAAACAAATCTATTGATGCATAATTAATATAAGGAAAAGTTAACAACTCATGGACATGCGCACTATAAAGCTTTACAAGCGTCTCTTAGTGAGTCTTACGAATATTCTTAGGCACTGTCGTTCATGTCGTAGATGTAGTCGTTCATTTGTCTTTGAATAGTGAACAGATTATAAAAGCGTACGTGATTAATTTTATCCAAAGCAGGTTTATGGAATTAGAATCATCGTTCAAAATGGCAAATTTTCATATTTTATGATATGATGAAGAACAAGACATCCGATAAGGCGTCTACTCCGTCTATATTAGTCGCAAAGTTTTGAAAAACGAGCGAAATTTTTACCATACTAGCAATGCAAAGTTTGCCGGTGTGTAAATTTCCGAATGCCGGCTTACACCTGTATTGTGGACGTTCTCGTGGCAACAGATTTCGAAGTTTAATTATTTAAGGACACTACGATTTAATCTATTCATAAAGTCTTTCCGACTTTATACCTAATAATAGTTATGTATAGCTCACAAACGTCAAGAAATTTAGGATCCTAGCTTCGAGCAGTTTTGAAAAGCAGGTATATATGTCCATAGCCAGTTGCTGGCATGAATTAAATGATAAATTGTTAAAAGGTATAGGCCATGCTGCTTGCTAGCTTTCTAAGGAGCTGTTTACATGACCCCGGTTACCCGAGATTCAATGAAGCGTGAGATGATTTTGAGGTATTGAAATGAGCAGATAACATGATCCTGACAGTTGTATAATCACCACAACAATAGCATCTGCTTTTTTGGTATCTTAAAGAGTTATTTCAATACCTCAAAGTCCTCTCATGCTTCGTTGAATCTCGGGTAACCGGGCTCATGTAAACAGCCTCTAAAAACAAAATCAATTTTACCAAACACAAGGTCGAAGATGAACAAGCAGCCTCTTGGACACCGTCTGCATTTAAATTATTAGGTAAAAAGTGTAAAAACTTAAGGGCAAACTGAAGGGGGGGGGGGGGCAGATTTTTGTAAAAGACACTTCTGTAGCGCGAGTAGAAAATGTTTGCAAAAGAAGCTATACTAAGAGAGAAACAAAAAACATGTCCCTGGATTAACAGGCCTAAAAGACTACTTCTACGAGAAGGAATGCGTCAGTTTTTCCTAGCCCCATATTCGATAGAATTTGATATTCAGTTATTTGCACCCAAGTATGTCCACAACTTTAAATTTTGCGCTAAGAGCTATATCATTCTGCCTTTTTCAAAAAACGATTAAGATTGTTTCTTAAAACTATATTGACTGGCTATTGAGATAAACAACGTACATTATAAATTCTCAAAAAGGCATTGACAAAATAAATTGAAATTAGAAATGGCAGTTAGTATATATAATTAAGATGCTAGGGAACGGAAATGAACTGATATTTTAATAAACCGACAAAACAAATAATTTATAGTGATTGTGAGACAGATGTTATTAATTAAACGTTGTCTAAAGTGTCTAAAGTCTTGATTATAGCGAGCCCGTGAGCTGAGACACGATCGAAATTTTAACAAGACAAGCGTTATATGCGTATAAGAAAGGTTAGTCTTTAATTTCTAAGAAACTTTCTTTATGAATCCCGAACACTGAAAAAGTTGAGGCTAAAGTCCTCATGATTTATTGTCTGCCGTCAATGTGTAGGAACAAAGACAAAGCCTGACTAGCCATCCACAATGGCATCTCAGATGTTTATATAATTATGTATGTGTATCTGAACTAGCTACATATAGGCTATTGCTTTATGCAGGGTATAAGCTAAAGAAACCACTAAATGTTCCTGGAAAGGAGGGAGGGAGGGAGGGAGGGGGGAGGTAGGGAGGGGGGAGGGAGGGAGGAAGGGAAGAAGGGAGGGAGGGATCTGTGTTAATAGATTGTATTATGCATTCTTTTCAAAAGTTCTTTGTTTCTCTCCTTTGTCATTGCTATCCCGCTATATGAGGACAGGCATATGGAAATAAGTTGTGGAAGCCCTGCTCTATGAAAAGGGAGTTAATGTCAGTTGTTTACGAGTTCTCCTATGCTTTACCGAATTGCTTATGTAATTGTAATTATCGTATGCTTTGGTGAAGATTCGAAAACCCTGTTTCATCAATACTACTGAGATATTTTGCCACAGTTATGGAATTGAATTCTATTTAAGAATACCTGTTTTCAATCAAACATAACGAAAAAACAAACAATTTTATTTACATTTCAACGCACACATGCAAAACATATTATACTTTTGATCAGCAGCAGCCATGATAATGCTTCGATCAATGCACAAGCCTTTTTGGGGATATTGCTGGAAATGTTCGGGTAAATTTACTTCTAAATATTCATTGTAATATAAGCAAATCTTATCAAGAAATGAAATTTATAATAATGAATATTAAAAAATATTATTGTTAACAGAATTGTTCAATATGGGCTCGAAAAGTTTTAATATCACAGAAATCTGCCGAAGAGATCCTACCACGCTGAACGATGAGGAGTTTAATATCGCACTGGAGCACTGTGAATCTCCCTTTCCTGATTTACCGACTGGTAACTCATCAACATCATCATTCCCATCATCGTCTTCATCAGATTCCCCTCCAATACTTGAATATACTTATTTCTATACCTTGCTCATTTCTGGTGGAATCCTGTTAAACCTGTTGGTCATGATCACGATATTTTCTAGAAATCGACTTCGAACAGTTCCAAATGCATTCATGGTATCTTTATCTGTGGCAGATTTTTTAATGGCCACTGTAGCACTTCCCTTAAGAATGATGGAACGCATTGATGAAAACAAGAACCATGTCATTACGTCATTATTATTCCCATGTATTGGAGTGGCATCCATATTCAGCTTATGTTGTGTAACCCTTGATCGCTATATGCATATAAAACACCCATTGAACTATGAAAAATACATAAATAAAAGACGAGCATTTGCAATTGTTACAGGTGTGTGGTTTTTCTCTATTAGTCAATCATTAGTATTCTTTCTCGTCAAAAACAATCGTCATCATGAAGCAATTTTCAACGACGTCCGAATTTTTTATTGCTTTGGAATTCCGTCAATATTCATCGTTGCTGCATATGCCAAGCTGTTTTTAATAGCAAGATCACATGCCCGGGTCATCGCTGCAACCTCAGTCAGAATACCCGACCGTCCGTGGTCGCAGAAGAAAGATTTTAAAATTCTCAAGAATATTGCATTGATCGTTGGCACTTTTATCCTATGTTGGTTTCCATTCCTCTTTGCAGTCAGTTACGAGCTTCACCATTCAACGCTGACGAGAGAGTTTTATGTGCTCATGGGTATTTTAGAATGTTTTGCTTGCAGTACTTGTGTACTAAATCCTATCATTTACGGCATATTAAGACGAGATTTGCGGATATCAATGAAATATGTTGCTGGTTGTAAACGTGGAAGCATGGAGGAAAGTGAATCGTTGTAGACAATACGAAATATGAAAGTATTTTGAGTGAAAGATTATCAGATTAAAGGCCGTGTAATAAACGACTGTTGCTGTACATGTAGCTAAAGGAATGTGGTTTGCTATATTTTTAATTAATGAAACTAGTAAAAACTGGAGAATTGCAGAAAGAGTGAAAAGATACCTTTTGGGCGCCATTTCTGAAATCAAATTTGTAGCCGAGTCCGAAGGAGCAGTGCCAGTCTCTTAATTTTTCGCTATCTTCAACAACAAAGACCAATAATTGGTTTTAAAGATGGCGACCGATTTATCCGGTCCAGTTCACATAGAAGAGTTGAACTAGAAAATTTCAAAGAATAATCAATTGCCCTCCTATTGGTTCGAAAAAGAATACTCAATATCACTCTCAACCACATCCATCCAATAATTATTTACTATCCACTTTAAATATTATATATAGTTAATATAGTTACAAAGGTGATTGTTGACAATTCATCTGATTGGTCGAGTGACTTTTCTACATGCATTTAAGGAATCAAACTGAATGAGGCAAGGTAAATTAAGCAACGTGAACTTCATACAAATACATAATTTTTATTATACTCATATACTATCCATGTAGTTACCTTTTCCATATATTTCTATAGCATGTAATATTGTAATGATTGTTGATTAAGGTGGCTCCTAGAGAGAAAATTGTTGAATGCAGTTTGATGATATAGAATTAGTTTTTCTCACGATGACGAATATGCCGTCATTTTTGGGGTACTTTTTCAAAAACTGTGAGCGTAAGACCTCAAAACGGCGATTATTTTTAAACTTAGGCTGAACTTATTCTTCGAATGGTCTGTTTATTCTAAAAAAATTGCTTTTGATGTTTAAACATAATTTTTAAACCCATTTCAGAAAATTGAAAGTACCCCAAAACGTCATTGTGAGAAAGGCTAATTAAGCATCGACATTGTAAACTATAAAATTATAAATTAAAATTAGTTTTAACGTATTGAATACTGGGTTCGAAATAAAAATATATTGCTTGGCCAATTATAGAAGCCGTTGCCATGGAAACAATGACATTTCAATATGGCAATCAATTATCATTAAATTACAATTATTTCACAAATCCTTTGGTGAAAACTCTCCTTTTTCCACTGAACGTTTTGCCAGATGGTTAGTAGGTGTAAAAACATGGTTTTGCGGAATCAAAAAAATCCTATCGATAACTTTTTTAAAATTGTCGGGTCGTTTAATAAATGACTTGAAAAGCATTCGGTGAAAAATTAAAAAAATTAAAAGAAATGGATTTATTCCGGGCGGAATATTTGATAAAATATTTAATATAAAAAAATAGAGAAGTGGATTATTATTGATGCGGAGTTCTTAAGAAAAAGGTGAATATTCGACGATATTGTGGCAAATTTCTCACTCAGTAAAATTGCCATGAAAAGCCCACAATAAAATGAATTTTTATGAGATTTCCCGAATTTCCCAATTTTTCGTAACTTCTTTGCTGATTTACTTACCGAATTCTCAGCTGCTAAAATTACGAGGCTAAAATTACGAGAATAACTACAAACAATTTTTCACGGATAATCAAATTATTTAATTATTCGCTAACGATTTTCATATGCAATATTCACAGCAGGGTATTAAAAAAGTGAGTAATAATAGTGAGTAATAATATATTTATCCTGAAATTGTGAACCAGTGATCAGGACTTCGGATTAAAACCAATTTCTGCGGCGTTCACCTAAAATATCACTCTGACTTTTAAAGCTCTCCTCTGCTGAGTGCAATAAATCCGACACATTTGTTTTGTGTACTCTAAATTTAATTGCGCGTGACGTACCTGGGCTATTTTCAGCCTAGTATTCTACAGGTTTAGTATTCTTTCGAAGGTTGTGCACCTATATTCACAACAGATATTAGCAAATTAAAGGTCATCTGAGCAGTCTCTTTTTCATTCTCTAAAACCTTGTCGTGTAAGTTCTTTCTATAGTCATCTCTCTGTGTGCGGTCTCGTAATCATAATATGCATGCAGTAGGAAAAAAAGCATTCAATCGCGTTGCTTGAATTTTAAAATACAATTTTTACCAGAATATTTCGTCTCATTGATGCTGTTGATCAAAATATACCGGCGATATTTGGCAAACTGGGAAAGATCTGAGACAGGGTTAGAATAAGATTATTCAAAAAGGGAATGCGTTTTATTAAAATAAGACAATGGTAATTAATTTAAAAAATTTTAGGCAAATATTGACCAGCTGTCCAAGTTGATCGAATGCATAAGACAAACTGCATTCGACAGCTGAGACACTTCAACGCTGAGAGACGATATTTTAACAAGACAACTGCTGCAGAACACAGGTTTGTGACTAAATTTGTTCTATATATAGCTATTATCTTAAGTTTCAACGTTGTTTGAAAACAAGGTTCTGTTTAAACAATTTATTTAGCTATAGTTACAGTTGTTGGCCATAGGCCGTCTGTCCACATAATTCTGAATAGCTTCAAAACTGTTTGTCTGCAGAGAACATCATTTGGTGTGTAGAATGGGCACCTCATAAGTATTGTCTGTGATCAGGGTCTTGAAATTCTTTGGATGTTGAAAAAAAGACATTATTTTCCACTGGTTTTATACTGCGGCGTAGATTTAATGCATGCTGTGGCGATGAACTATCGGGAGTCAGTGTCACTGCATGTGTTTGCTGGGTTGGAAGCAAATGTCAGACTATTTGTTCACCCCCAGTCAAATCGCTGATTATACGTTAAACTAGCAAAATTTACGATTGTTACGAACCGGTTTATGATATGCATGATATCTTATCTTAAACCCTGTTTTTCTCTTTGACGATATATTGATAAATTGCGTGCTACAAACGGAATTTAATATTTAGGCTTTTGATTACTGCTTAATACCTTAACGACTGCACAATCACTAGTGCCGATAACCTAATTATTTGACTCTACCTGAGGTCTTATTATTTAACAATTAGACAACGAGTCCGGGTTGTCTATGAGCGAATAGTCAACGAAGGTGAGTTGTCTAATTGTTTTAGTATACACCCTGTACCTAGATATATTAATTTCGAGAAAATAATCGATACACCACAATTTCACCGAAAAATGATTTAATTAATTCAATTTTATACGGTCGCGCGAGCGAATTTTTCCCGAGCGAACGTTCACCATCACGAATAGACAATGGTTGAGTAGCCAATCAGAATGCAGGATTTGTAATAGACCATAGTCGGGTATATACTAAAACTGTATAGAGACACGGAAAATGTTTTCTATTTCTTAAATAGAGCACGGCGGGTATATTGAATGACGCAGGCAACTAATTTTATAGTTTTTAAATCAAGTTCGTTTTTCCGAATGAAAAAGGCTGAAGTGAAAAGTGGCCTCATAAAATAACGCATTATAGGGAAGCGAAATATAGAGACTTATATGACGTTTTCATAGAAAAAAAGAACATATATCTTAGGGTGAGAAAGTAATCTTTTTCCCTTTCACTTCAGCAACATAGCCAACAGAGCGATGCGGGGTAGGAAGTACCCAACCCTTTCTCCCCAGTTTATCCCTGGACACAAAATATGGGGTAAAATTTGCGCTGGATGTGAAATTGGCATTATGTTTTTGTGTGACTGACCCGTTCTCTCCACGTAATGCATGTCGGAAGTTGATCAAACTCACTTGGAGTTGCGATAGCGCTGTGTTGAGTGTGTTCCAATGCATTTTAGTTATCAGGGAGCGTCTGAATTTGATAACCAACTACTTTCAAGCATTGCGCACTTAAAAAGTATGTAATAAAGTATAAAATCTCTCACAAAACGTGGCGCAGATATAATTTTACCAAGACCTATTAGCTTTGGTCCAAAACTGGTTCATAAAACATGCTGAGCATAGCGTCCTTGTTGAGTATTGCGTCTGGAGGTGGTGCCAGTTCTTGGGCATCGTGCTCAAACTCATTTGGAAGCGTGTGCTAAACCTAACCAGGCAAATTCAGTTTGTAAATTGAAAAAATTATTAGGAAATATTGCCGCCAAAAATGTGCCAAAATTTAGTTTGAGTTTCAATTTCAAGGGGCTTTAATTTCAGGTTTTGAAACAGGCCTTACGCATTAATAAAACAGGGCATAACGACTGTGCTCAAATCTGCGTTCAACATACTAATTTTCCAAGCGATTATTTCTTCTGAGGTGCACGTGTCCTTGTGAAAAATCCTCATTTTAATGCCTGAGCGGCGGGGACCAGTGAGTTCCTTTTCAGTGAAATAATATCGTGTCATGTAAACGAAACTGACCGATTCTACTGTGTAATAAACCTTATAATCATTAATAGCAATAAATAATCGTCTTAACAGGATTGTGGTTCAATATGAAACCGAATGGTTTTAATATCACAGAAATTTGCCGAAAAGATCCCACCACACTGAACGATGAAGAATTTGATATCGCACTGGAGCATTGTGAGTCTCCCTTTTCAACTGCGTTTACTGCATCATCTTCATCCCCATCATCGTCTTCATCAGATTCCCCTCCAATACTTGGATATACTTATTTCTATACCTTGCTCATTTCTGGTGGAATCCTGTTAAACCTGTTGGTCATGATCACGATATTTTCTAAAAACCGACTTCGAACAGTTCCAAATGCATTCATGGTATCGTTATCTGTGGCAGATTTTTTAATGGCGACTGTAGCACTTCCCTTAAGAATGATGGAGCGTATTGATGAAAACAAGAACCATGTCATTACGTCATTATTATTCCCATGTATTGGAGTGGCATCTATATTCAGCTTATGTTGTGTAACCCTTGATCGCTATATGCATATAAAACACCCATTGAACTATGAAAAATACATCAATAAAAGAAGAGCATTTTCAATAGTTACAAGTGTGTGGTTTTTCTCTATCAATCAATCATTTGTATTGTTTCTCGTCAAAAACAATCGTCATCATGAAGCCATTTTCAACGATATCCGACTTTTCTTTTGTTTTGGGATTCCGTCAATATTCATCGTTGCTGCATATGCCAAGCTGTTTTTAATAGCAAGATCACATGCCCGAGTCATCGCTGCAACCTCAGTCAGAATACCCGACCGACCGTGGTCGCAGAAAAAAGATTTTAAGATTCTCAAGAATATTGCATTGATCGTTGACACTTTTATTCTGTGTTGGTTTCCATTCCTCTTCGCAGTCAGTTACGAGCTTCACCATTCAACGTTGACGAGAGATTTTTATGTGCTCATGGGTATTTTAGAATGTTTTGCTTGCAGTACTTGTGTACTAAATCCTATCATTTACGGCATATTAAGACGAGATTTGCGGAGATCAATGAAATATGTTGCTGGTTGTAAACGCGGAAGCATGGAGGAAAGTGAATAGTTGTAGACAATAAATTGGAAAACGATGATATTTGTAGTAAAATCTATCCACAGATAATCGTTGACGTTTTTATGGCAAACGTAAAACGTAATCTGCTGCTGAATATATTCATTCCTGAGATAATTAGAGGGCTTTCTAATGCATATCACTTGCAGGGCAAAAAGTTAAGAGGGGATCTCTTAGGCCTAGGTTATACGTCGCATTTTGAAACAGAAGCCGTAGAAACAGCCAAAAAAGGGCATAAAAATATGACAGTCATTTAAAAAATGTAATAGATAAACTGAGATATGAGAAATTTTCGGTTCTATTCGAAAAGCTAACTATACTAGCACTTAAACAGTGGAGTCGGCAGCTTGATAAGTGGGGGGGGGACTTATTCATATATTTGTATTACATTATTCATTTCTTTTCAAATTGATTGTTTTAACGGTCTGTGAACATGAATATGTGAATATTTCCACCCCACTTATCGATGCCGGCGACGCCACTGCTCACACTCTACATGTGAGTGTGACAGAAATTTTATTATTACTAATCAATGTAGAAAGTTCTTTCTTAATAGATGAAAGTATTTAAGGGTAAAACATGGAAACGTTGTAAGAGGATTGAGATCTCCCACTCAATGAGTTTGAGTGTATGTGAGCTTTTAGAATACTAGCTTTAAGTCATAATTATGACCAAGAATGAAACACATATTTTCTGCATTTTTTTCGCTGAGTTTGAGTGTATGTAAATGAACACTGAGTTTGAGTGTATGTGAGCTTTTCATTGGCGTAGCAAGCCAGTCGATTTGTCCCGCTATGCTAGTATTTTGGTGTTCACTGACTGTGAAAACAATCGATTTCTAAAGACATGAAAATTTGTAATAACTCGAAATTTACATAGCTGGACAAAATCGTCAGAGCTTTTAAAATACTAGCTTTAAGTCATAATTATGACCAAGAATCAAACACGTATTTTCTCGCTCCAAGACGTGTTTTAAAACCTATTAGCTATCAGCTAAGCTATAGACACGTGTGGCTCTTCGCTAAATGTATCTAGACTAAGACTTACGTTTAAAAAAATTAAAGATTACATCAAACATAATTATTTAAAAGCTTAGCTAAAGTTTCCTCTTAAATCTAAGAACATTGTCAGAGAAATGACAAAATTATTGAAGCGTGTATGAAATCAAACTAAGAGAAGAGGAATATGGTTGCTTAATAAACCTTTTTCATAATGACGTCAATTAACGCGGAAAGTATGATGTTACACGAAGTTTGATTGGCTCAATAGTTTTGTGGAGCCAATCAAATTGCATGTAACATCATACTTTAAGAGTTTGACGTAATTGTGTATAGTCGAAGTAGTGTGTAAATATTTATTTATTACGTTGAGGCATTCAAATAAAGCAATCTGATTGTAACAAGGGCTTGATTTAATTAGAGGGGCATTTTTTGGGAGACCTTGTATACCTATAACATTTTGAGGGTCTATAAATCATATACAGAAAAAAGTATTGTGAGCTTGAAAAATAGCTAAACATTTACACTACAAAGGTTCGGAGAATTATTTACTATAACTATAGATCAGTAAAAGTACTCGAAGAAGAGGAAAATGAATTACCGTAAAACGTATTTTAACATTAGTCAACTTTTCTGTATTTTCAGTATTTCTTGCCTGATTATTGTTGGGCAACGTACTCCCCTAGTCGCTATTCCCCTCCTTTTCACTTTAAATATGCCTGTGAAAACAGATCACACCAATATGGTTAACTATTCACTTTTCTAAACGTTTTAAGGCATGTTATATGAGATACAGAGAGCTCTACATATACGCGGAGGTACTTATCTGAGAGTATAAAACTAATTTTGGCACCGAATAATTCGACTTGCAAATGTTTAAAAGCCTTGGAAACATTAGCTTTTTATAAATATTCTAACTTCAAAATTAGTCCGTCAAATTAAAAGGATAAGTGAACCTGTAGTTTTTAGATCAGTTAAATAACTGGACATGGAGTTCTGAAGCAAAGAAAATTTTACGTGAATATATTCGACTCGATTAACTTTGCTTAATAGGCTTGGCCGCAGTTAAGCCAATATTCCTGATGGGCGTGCTGCAAATTACTCATACGTACAATTGGGAATTACACTAATTCCTGTGCTAAAAACCTCATGGAAATTATTCATATTAACAAAAGAGCAATGATTGGTGGAGAAAGTTTGTAAAATGCGTATATAGCCACAGAAAGTTCGTAATTTCTTATAATTATTTACACCTGCGCTAATTGTGGAAACACACTTCTGTTAGTAATAATTACAAAATTATGCAAAATTTGCCAACTTTCCACGACTATGTATTAATTCCATATTCTCTATTTTCCGCGTTTTTATTCGTAAATTTTTATGCCCTTTCCGGAAACTTTAATTCACAGCGTAGATAAAAAATACTCTAAAGGTGTATACAGTATTATCATATATTCATATTCATCGTATATGATATAGAAGTTATATTATACATACACTTTTGAACGCCATGGTGACTAATGACATGAGATGCATTGTACTGATAACTTTATTTTTGCGTTCTTGGCGAAAAAAAATATGCATACAGAAACCAATCAATCAATCAATCAATCAATCAATCAAAACTTTATTTAAGCACGGTAAAATCTACAGTATAAAAAGTGGGCTATAATTATATACATACATTAGATATTTAGGGACAAAATTACTAAATACAACACAATACAATACAATTTAAAATACAGATATATAAACTGATTTACAAGATTGCCGTGCGAGAGTCTGTTTTATAGGGAAAAAATGTTGTCAATCTCCCTTTTAAATTGGTTAAGAGAGCATAATGCTCGTACATTTTGAGGTAACTCATTCCACAACACCGCGCCACTATAACTAAAACTTCGCTTAGCATAATTTGTTCGCGGTTTTGGTACAAATAAAGCATTTTCAGAGTTTCTCAAATTGTATCCTGTGCTGTGGAATTCAAATAAATTACGGAGATAATTCGGTGTTAAATCGTTAAGAATTTTGAACATTATTACAGCCTTGTGTTTTTTCCGGCGTGTCGAAAGATTGTCCCAACCTAGTTTAGTGAAAAGGTCGCTGGAACTTGCATCGTATCCAGATTTGGTAATTACCCTCGCTGCTCTATTTTGCAGTTTTTGCAATTTATCATTTAACGTGATATTTAAACCATCCCAAACTGAACTACAATAATCAAAATACGGTTGAATCAAAGCTCCGTAAATTTTGAGGGCAGTGCTTGTATCTATGAACTGGCGTATCCTTTTAAGAGCACCAATTGCCGACGCAACCTTTTTGGAAATGCCTTCAACGTGTCGCGCCCATACTAGGTGCTCATCAATTTGTAATCCTAATGATTTCGTATCTTTAACTCTCTTGATTATCTTCCCGTCAATTTCAATGTTTATTTGTTCATTATTGTGTATCATTAACCGTTGACGAGATCCAATTATCATAAATTCCGTTTTAGCGACATTTAGACTCAGTTTGTTAGCTATGAGCCATTGATTAAGATTTTTCAATTCAGAGTTAATTATTGATTCAAGCTCTGTTACAGATTTTGCCGCAATACTTATATTGGTATCATCAGCAAACATTCTCGGAGAGGCTCTTTCCAGACAATTAGGCAAATCGTTAATGTAAATTAAAAACAATAGTGGCCCCAAGTTGCTACCTTGAGGCACACCACAACTTATTTTAACAGCCTCAGATAATTCACCATTTACGCAACATCTTTGGCCACGGTTGCTTAGATATGATTCAAAGAGTTTGATGCCGCTTTGGTCAACACCATATATTCTTAACTTCCGTAAGAGAATGGTGTGATCAATGGTATCAAATGCTTTTTTGAGGTCGATAAAGACCACTCCATTGAGTAGGCCATTATCTATGTTGATTGACCATTTGTCCGTTGCTTCTAATAAGGCAGTTAATGTACTGTGCAATGATCGAAAACCGGATTGAATTTTGGATATCAAATTATTAGCATTTAAATACTCATATAGCTGATCAAAAATCAGTTTTTCAAAAATCTTAGCAACACATGAAATTACGGATATTGGTCGATAGTTGTCCATATCATCTTTTCTACCTTTCTTAAAAATCGGCGTAACTCTTGCTAACTTCCATTCCGTTGGGAATATGCCAGTAGTTATAATCTTATCAAATATTAGAGTTAATGATGGGGCAACGATTTCAGCTGCAAGTTTTAAAAGTTTGCAGGGTATTTTATCCAGACCTGATGCTTTCTTTTCGTTAATCGTTCTTAATTTACTACAAACTGTATTTATTGTGGGGGTGTCAATGAGAATGTGGTTTCAGTTGGCTCAATATAAACCTCCGGTTCCACAGCAGATGGTGGTATATCAGATGCTAATTCTCACCTACTTTTGCAAAGTGAGAATTAAACATTTCGGCTATGTCCTTAGGCGCATTTATTGTTTCTTCGCCAATTGTAATATTAGATATGGTCTTATGACTAGAATTATTACGAGAGCTTAATTCATTAATAAGTTTCCAAGTTGACTTTGGATTGTTCTGGTTGGTCTCAAGGTTATCAGTAAAGTATTGACTTTTCACTTTTTTAATTTCATTATTCGTAGAGTTCCTTAATGATTTATATTGTTGCCAAATCAATGTGTCTCCAGTCATTTTTGCTTTCTTTTTCAAAAAATCTCTCTGGCGCATTTTTTGTTTTAATTGATTAGTTATCCAAGGGGATTTCTTTTTCCCAATTCTTTTTAATCTGAGTGGAGCATGTTTATCAATGCAATTAAGTAACATCCCTTTCCATCTTACCCACATTTCATTAGGTTCATTGCACAAATTTAATTCTAACCATTGCTGTTGTTTTAAATCTCCTATAAAGTTTCCTCTATGAAAATTTTTCATACTCCTTATTTCAACTAATCGCGCTTCCGCTTTCTTATAATGAACCTTATGTGTCATATAAACTAAAACATGATCACTTATGGAAAGATCAATTATACCTGAGTTTATGATCTTTGTTGGGGCATTTGTAACGCAAAGATCAATTAGCGTTGAGGAATATGGTGTAGTTCTAGTGGGTTCTTTAATTAGTTGTGTGAGGCCAAAAATTTCAAATATATCATTTAATTTATTAGCATTGGCTGATGTTGCTCCCGGCATAAGGTCCACATTTATGTCACCTAATAGAAAGTAGTCATGATTCGTCAAATCTACCTTCTGTATTATTTTCTCAAAATAATCAAAGTAATACGTTGGCAGATCTGGAGGTCGATACCAAGTGCTAATTAAAAGAGATTTAGACCGAGGCTTAGTTATTTCAACTGTTAAATATTCTAAATCGTCAGAGCTTAAATCATCGCAAATTTTGTAATTAAGGTTGCATCTTACATAGAAACAAACACCACCCCCATGTCTCCCATTTGTTCTCCTATCTTTCCTTACTATTTCATAGCCGGGTATATGGACTTCGTTATCTCCAATTAAAGAATCAAGCTTTGTTTCGTTAATTGAGATAACATCAATATCAGATTCTTTCATAAATATTCGAAATTCATCAATATGCGCAAAAAGGCTATTAATATTTAGTGAGGCCATAACTAGACCTTTGCCAAATGGTTTATAATTAATATTAGTACACTTACGATTTACACTCGGTAGCACCGATTCAGACTCCCGCACAGCAGATTGGTCGTCCACACTACCTATTATTGACGTGTTCGCCAGATCATTGTTATTTGTGGCATAAGTACTCTTTTCCGCGTTATATAACGATTTGTCTAACGATGAATTCTTTTCCTTGGCGTCTGTGGTATGATCATCCTCAGAAGCTCCCCAGATGATGAAGTTCCTTCGGAAAATCCTCAACAGTTGGATGTGAAAGTCGCCGAAGAAATTTGATAAAATGGACAGCCAGGAGCGCTGATCCCTTTGTATTAAGGTGTAACTTAGAGCCATTGAGGCAGGATTCGTCTATGTTCTTATTTGCGATGAATGTATATCCTTTTTTCTTGCATAGATTGTATAGTAATTTATTGGTTTCATGAATCTTTGTTGCTACGTCAATATCTCCTCTCGATATTAGGCCAGATATTGCGATTCTGGCATCTTTAAACTTGTTTTGTACTGTGGAGCTTAGATGCTTAATATTGTCGCAGCATTCTTTACTCGAGTTCTGTATTAAGTTATTCGTTCCAGCGTGTATGATAACATCTGTGGGAGAGGAATGCACATGAGCTTTTTGGAATTCATTTGCTATTTCCTCAGCTCTTTTCCCAGGGTATATTAACTTTCGAACTGAGCTTTTTGATATCTTGTGAGGATTAATATCCTTGATCATTGAATCTCCAATTAGTAGGATGTTTCGCTTGGATTTTGTGCCTTTATGAGTTGTGTTAGTGTTCTCATTCCGATGACCAGTTTCCAAGGTTTTGTCTAAAGATACTTTGCTCACAGAATCATTGGCATCGTCTTCTTGATCACTGATGCTGAGGACTTCGTACCGATTCTTTGACTCAAAAACGCTTTCAGATGTATCTTTACTAGAGCTCTTTACTTTGGTATAATCCCGTTTCTGTGTTTTGCTTCCATCATTGAGGTCTTCTTGTAGGGATCTTGCAGCTGCTCTTAAACTATCGTTCTCAGTTTCCAGTTCTTTAATTCTCTCCCTCTCCGCCGGTAGAACTTTTTCACGTTGGACCAGCTTCAGTGAGGTCATCAGACTCGATTTCTCTTCCTGGAGGTCCAGTACTTTAGCTCTAGCTTCGGACAGAGATTGGAACAAGTTCCTATTTTTCTCTTTTAGCTCGTTATTTTCCCGGTTAAGTTGCAGTTTTTCCTTCCTTAACTCGTTAACAACGTCCTCTAAGACCAGGATAGCATATGCTTTGTTCTCTTTAGTTTCTTTAATTGTTGAAATTTCATCAGCAAGAGCCTCTAGTTTTTGAGTAACACTCTGGGTATATTTCTCTAGCTTAGATTCAATTTCGTAAACTTCTTTTGGGTTTTTGTTGAAGTTTGTACTATTTAAATTACTTGTGTAGTTTTGATCATTTAGCTGTATCTTATCAGTGTTCAGGTTACAGTCTCGTGAGTTTGTATGCAAATTACTGTCTGTTGACTCCGAGATGAAATGCAAATTCCCGATCTTTGAGCTTTGATGTTTTGCAATGGCTTCGCCGCCTGTTTGTGATTCGAGTAATTCGCTATCGCTTTCCACAGTCTCTCTCGTTTTGGTCAAGGGTTCACCGTCCGCTATGTGTTCAGATGCTGCCTTATTAGTTAGATATATGTCTCTGACTAGGTCTTTGATTTTCAGAGAGGCTTCGCCTTCGAATGACAATACTAACGATTTCTTCGAGTATTTTATTGTTATTTCATCGCTGCTAAAGAGCTTAGTTGATCCACCAGGTGATGTCCAGTTGCCTCCTAAACCCAAGCGCAGCTCGGTAAAAGCTTTCAGATCTTCGAAGGAGCCATTCCATTTGATTTTTGATCCCTCGACTACGAGTTGATTGTTGATAGTCGGTTGAGTCGAAGATTCGCTTTGATTTATACTCGCCATGGTGTAGGCAAATTAAAACCGTAATATGTACTAAGCCAATTGTAGTTAGAAATTTTTTAACAGCAGCAATTACTTGGCGAATTCACAATATTTTCAGCGGAGCCCAAAGTACACGTCTACACACGACCACGAGGTCTGTAACGTCTATTACAGTCTATTACAGTCTATTACAGTCTATTACAGTCTATTATAGACATCAAAATAAAATGCTGATAGAGAGTGCGACCCCTTGTATTTTGACTGTCGATTGGGGTATACGCGTTGGATAGCTATAGAATGAAATCAAAACCCAGTTCGTTAATTTCAACCGTATGTTAATTTATTATCTTTGAATGAATTCTTTAATTTGTCAACGTTTTAATTGCACAATTGAATTAAATTTTATGCTTTGTATAATATACTGTATATATGCTTCAGCGTATATGTATAAATGTGTTCAACATAATTATATTTTTGAAACTTAGCCATACAGTACTATGGCCGTTTTCAAAATACTACTGCATTGGTGAATGTTATGATAAACCGCAGCTTTTTGATTTCGCCTCGATCTCTTCACACTGACACACCGGAAGAAATCTGCCAACACGACGTGTTTTTTCACTTTTCAAAAAACAAGTTTGATCATTGTAGAAAGATAGTACGTTTTGACATATGTCCGGTTCCCTTCCCGAATTTCCTTCCGGAATTGAATCATTTTCTTCTGAAACTTAATCACGTCTAGTGTCCATACAAAGTATGTCATTATTGAATTATGAACGACTGGGAACCGTAAGCACAAATAGGACCTAATGTATATTTGTTTTCCGCTGGTTTAAAGGCATGCAAGACTTAAATTTTTGCCGCCTTAAAATTTATCACATCAAAGTAAGTGTGAGATGGACAGTTTCGACCTTTGACGCGCTTATTTGAGCGTAATCATGCAACACTGGTCTATTTTTAGGTCAATTTTCTTCAGGTTGCCTTCTCTTTAGCATGCGGTAAACGGTTAAGCTCCGCTGCAGGAAGCCAACTAAACGCCTTGTTTATTCATAAGCATCTAAAATCTCTAGATTGCATCTTATTGTGAAACCTTTATCTGCAACGCCACCAAAATTTCCTTATCGAAACGTTATGAGTGCACATATATGCATGCATCGAGGGCTGTCTCCATACGTGCGTCTTCTCTCATTAAAAGCAGAAACTTTCACCTGTCTTTTTGAATTGCAAATTCTGGGAGGTTAGAAACCAGGGAAAAAAGAATACTGTGAACTAATTGAAGAGGTAAATATAAGGCAAAAATATAAATATCCTTCTGGCTTGTTAGCAATTACCTTTCTTTTAGGATATAGTTATTTTCTTTTAACGCAATTTGAGGATATTTCTAACCCAAACAAAATTCGTTAATTATATTCGAGGACTATTCGATCCTAAGCTATATTCTTAAGGGGTATATTGGACATTAAACATGCTGAGACAATGCATCATATAAATAATGAGATAATTGTAAGTGTTTCAAGTGGTTGAACTTTATTTTTATGTAAATCATGTCGGGGAGACAACGTTCATTTCAATTTCATGCTTATAAGTAAATAAACTCTAATACCACTAAAATTCGTTTTAAGAATATTCTTTAAAAATGACTCATATTTGTAAGTGATTAATCATTTCGGTACCACTTTAATGGTCAAAAAATAAAAATATATAAGTACCTGTACGCACACTGAATAATAAATTTAGCCTGTAATTCTATGCCCGCCGAAAAAGTAAGGCAGGTGTATGTTGGTTTTTCATTAAAATACGAATTCACACGGTAGTTCAAAGGCACAGATGTTACAGCAAACTTGCAAGATATCTTCTAAAGGTATTACTCCTGTTCGTGCAAGTATACTAAAAGGAAACGGATGATATTACTGACAACATAGAGAACAGTTTTATTAATAGAATTTTTTCTGCATAAATTAAGGTAACGTGCTTGTGACATTTTGACATGCAAAATAATGCATTCTCTAGTAATTATATGTTCTCCGTGTTTACCATACTTACCCTTGACGGGCATATTCAAACCTAGATTGTAAATTTGTCTCTTTTCCTCCCCATGCAGCTAACACATTAAGAGTGCCTAGGCCTTGGGACCCTAGGAGGTGGTTTAAAAGGAGAAAGGAACACACACACACAACCCAGGCCACATATCTATCCAAAGCGTTAATCAGCTTGAATGTAAAAGATCGATTTTACGTATTTATCAGTTCGAATGTACATTCTTAACATATCAAATGTCCAAGTGCCACACAACTCAATTCATCTTATCGTCGTCATGAACATTCTTACAATGCAGAGAATAAGTATAGTTAAAAATACATAGGTATATTATCCGCGCCAAGTACTTTTGGTTATTAGGAACCTACGCCAACAATACTCTGTAGGATTTCTATATTGTTGAACATGATTTACTCCAAAATAAATTTGGAGTTGCAACAAAAATGTTCTCCGTGTTTATCATTCGTAAAAAAAATGAATTAACATTACAATGTTTTCCGTGTTTAAAATGTTCTCCGTGTTTACCATTCCGTGTTTTACATTCTTAGGTTTTTATATATGCCCCTCAAGGGTATTATTACCTGTGTTGCAATTCCAAATTTATCCTGCAAATCATGTTCAACAACATAGAAATCTTACAGAGTATTGTTGGCGTAGGTTCCTAATAACCAAAAGTACTTGACGCGGATAATATACCTACGTATTTTTAACTATACTTATTTCTTGCATTGTAAGAATGTTCATGACGACGATGAGATGAGTTGTGTGGCACTTCGACATTTGATATGTTAAGAATGTATACATTTGCAATGATAAATACGTAAAATCGATCTCTCACATTCAAGCTGATTAACGCTTTGGATTCCAAGTTGGATGGATGTATGCATGGCTTGGGTTGTGGGACAGGGAAAGGGACGAAGGCAATACTTTCCCGCACAGACCGAGTAAACGACATAAATAAGGGATTTATTATATTTGGCTTTTATTTTTTTATTTCTATAATGAATGTTTTCACGAGCGGGCAAGTTGAATTTCTTGAGCGGGCAAGATGACTTTTTCCGGACCGGTAATCAACCAATCAGCGTGCGGCATTTATTTTAGACGGATAATAATATACAGTACTATATAATACTTACACAGTCACGCTTATTAGCATGTAAATTATAGACAAGTAGCAACGTTGGCATGCCAAACAAACGACATATAATGAGTCAATTTCATCAAAATGTGTATTTTTATTTCAAATAAAACCATTCGCTATTTTGCTGCCTATATGGTAATAAAAAAACGCTTCTATAAAGACTTCGTCGCGATGAAAATTGGGAAACAGGACTAGCAGGTGTTTTTTTTTATTTATTCGTCTAAATACAAACTTTATGCTGGGTATCCCCCAAAAAGTACTGCGGTGTAATTCAAAATAGCTTTTTATCGAGTAAAGTTATGGAAATGAAACAACTTCCATTAGTTAGATCCTCTATAAACTTAGAGCAAGGATTAACTTTTTTATATCTATTTTTTTATATATTATGTTATTCTTGTGATCTGTATATCGTAGCCAGCCTGACGAGTGACGATTTCGCCTTGCTATTCATTTCTTTAGAAATTTATTGTTTCCACTGCCATTGAACCCCAAAATATTAGTATAGAGGGACAAATCGTCAGGCTGGCTACGTAACAGGTGTGTTTTTTTTGTGCCCAAATGGCTAAAAAATATGCAAAAACACTGTGAAAAAATTTACAGTATCTATATATACAGTATATATTTACAGTAACTATTTACAGTAAAAGTAGACACAAATAACAAACTGTTGCATTATTAATGTTATACCACTGCAATTTATTACAATAATTTATTAAAATATAAGTTAGGATGATGGCCAAATGTTTCTTATATGCGTGCAGTGCTTGTCCCGTTATTTGCATAATTTATACACATCCGGCTATAAATTCACAAACTTTCAACACAAATATCTTTGTGACTTTTAGGTAAAATACAACTGCAATTCATACCAATATCTAAGTTCACATGCATTCCCTCTATCTAATGAAATTTATTTCAATTAAAGGCTCCGCTGGTTAAAAAATTTTTATCAATCAAACAGGAGAACGTTTTTAGGACACCCGGTGTAGACAAGAATATACTCAGGAAGAAGTATCTGAAAGTTTCCTATGATGAATATATTCATAATAGTTACAGGTGATAAATCGAATTGTCTATTTATATTACTGATAGTTTAAATACAGTTTATAACTCTCGGTAGGCGGGAATATTGAAATGCATGATTATAACGTCGGTCCGGGGGATCACGGGATATTTTTTTACTTTGTGAAGACTCTTTTGCTGCAGTCTGAGCTTAAACACGATTTTTCATCGATTTTTCCTTGATTTTTTGTTGTTATGTGTAGCATGTGTTAATACAGTCATGCACGCAGAAAGGGTTTTTCCTCTGTTTTTTCAGTAAAGTTTATCGCAGGTGGACGTCATGAAAGCCAAACCTACTCCAGATCTAAGTTGCGGATCGGAAGTTAATAAAGCCTAAATAAACGCATATTTTTTCGTTGTGCTGTGCAAATGGCATTCACAACCCAATATATTTTTGCTCATAAAGAACTAATTTTTCTTACATATTATTAAGTTCGAGGGGCGTGGAAACAAGGCTTTAGTTTAATCGTCTTCTTTTTCTATGTATTTGAAACTTCGTTGTATACGATAAGACATGAAATCACATCAGTGTTTTATGAAAAACTGTCTTTTCTACTGAACAGAATATTATTAATGAATACGAGCAACGATATGTTTTAAGTAATGATATTAATCTTTTTTGTAGGATTTTTAACGAAGTGTATAATGGCATTGAATATCACAGAAGCATTAAAAAAAGTCAAAAGAATCTCTCTCTTTTAGCTGAAGAGGAATTTGATTACTTCCTTGCGGGTCACTGCGATAAATCAGAACATTATTATTATGAATTCGAAAATCTAGACAAACCAACTTCGCCGGAATTTATCGCCGTCTACGCCGTACTTATTTTTGGTGGAGTCGTGTTAAACCTCCTGGTTCTGGTCACGACATTTTCCCGAAATCGATGGCGAACAGTAACAAATACATTCATCGTCTCATTGTCTTTAGGAGACTTCTTGTTGGCAACTGTGATTATTCCCGTGAGGATAAACGAACGTTTTCTCTCGAAAAGTTTCGTCGAAATGCGAATAATATACCCATGCATTGGAGCAATCACCATATTCAGTCTGAGTTGTTTAACCTTAGATCGGTATCTGAATATAATGCACGCTATGGACTATGATGGATACATGAATAAGTCGCGAGCTGCTGTTTTGATTGCAAGTTGTTGGATCTTCTCCATTCTTCAATCGTGCATATACTTCTTGATTCACGAAAGTGATAGGTACAAGAAAGCAATTTACAACGATGTTCGCGGTATTCTCTGTTTTGCATTACCGGCAATACTTAATTGTGTCGTTTACGCGAAATTGTTCGTGATAGCCAAAAGACATTCACGCCATATTGCTGTAACATCAACGAGTATACCTCATTCCCACCCGTTGCCACTGAGACAGGATACGAAATTACTCACCATTGTTGTGTTCCTTGTCGGAACATTCATCGTGTGCTGGTTTCCATTCCTTTTCGCTGTGTGTTACGAACTCCACCATGAAAAGTCCGAACTGAGCAAAAGCTTTTGTTTGTTTAAGGATATCTCAGAATGCATCTTGATGAGTACGTGTGTGATAAATCCTATCACGTGCGGTCTTTTCAGAAGAGATATTCGTCAACGAGAAAGCGTTGAAGAAATTGAACTAAACTAAACTGTAATCAGCAGACTTTTCTTAGAGGCTTTCATCAGCTCTGCTTTGGAGGAAGCTCTCGCCCTACAATTCATGGTTAAGGACAGAGAAAGTAGTGATATTGACCATACATTGATTTTGGGAAAAGGCTTGTGTTTAGCTACATCCGAAAAGCGGTCTCTTGATTCATTGTCACCAGTCTCTACCGCAATTTCGGACTATAGTCAATTAGTATAAACTGACTAATAGGCTATCACTTTTCCTGCGTTCTGATTGGCTACGCTACTAGTAGGCTATTAGTGATAGCCTACTAGTAGCAAAATTCAAAACAATGGCGGAAAATTCGCGTTTCGCCGAAGTATCTGAAGATTTTTTGGACGACTTGTTGGACAATTCCGTACCAGAAAAAACAAAAAAAGCAACAAAATACGGAATTGCAATTTTTAAGGGTAAGAAAATACATAAAAATAACGTATACTCAATTGAATTTTTATATTTAAACTGAATTTTAAAACATTTTACGCGAACAACAATTAAAATATTTTCTTCCCTTTAATATACGAAATAAATTTCAGTTTCAATATTTTTGTATTGTGTTTCCTAGTTGTAAATTAATGTTATAGTTTATACTAAAACAATTAGACAACTCGGCCTCGTTGTCTATGAGCAAATAGTCAACTCGGCTTCGCCTCGTTGACTATTCGCTCATAGACAACTCCGCCTCGTTGTCTAATTGTTAATTAGTTCTGCTAACGTGATCACCATAAACTTATTAAATGACCTTGGCTTAGACGGCTAGTAAAATTGTACAACAAAGTTATTCACGTGCATTATTGAGTAGAAATCAAAAGAAAGCGAAGTCTATTATATAGTACTAGGTTACCTGCAAGGTAGAGATTGCTGCGAGCATTTTAGGGTCCAAGTGAATTGTTATATGAAATGTTAGTAAACTAAATCCGTTTTAACCAATAGCAATAGCAGGTTTAAAAAACGCAAAGTGAACCTCTATTGAGCGTTAACTCGCTGGGGCTGTACATGAATTAACACCTATTAGCGAGAACACTGTCAATGACGTCAATATTTAGGTCAATATATGCTATATCAATGCTGTCTTGCGAGTTGCAGCTCGTTTAATCAAAGTCTTTAGAAGCAGCTAGTTTTAAAAATATTTTAACATACGAATCACAACAGGAGTATTAACACTAATAGTAATATTAGGTAGAATTTTGCGCGCGTAGCGACATTTTCCCCACAACAAAGCGAAAATACAGGCCCATTAGCACATGTTTAACAAAATAGAACATTTTTTGGTAACATGAATATTTGTTTTTTAAATATGCTATTTGTCTTTGTTGTGTCCATGTAAATGTTTGACTTCATGTGAAGAGTAACAAAACGTCACTTAATACTTTGAACTTTGAACGCGCTCGAGAAGACGTGTAATCAGAAACCACGTGAAGATCCGGTAAAAGCACTAAATAACAAAAACATTTAGCTCATTGTAAAATAGGAATAAAAACATATGCCTATGCTTACAGTAACCTAATTTTAAATAAGTCAAACGTTTCACGAATCTGAGCGATTCAGTCAGGCAATTTAGACGATCAATTCAATTGCATATTTTATCTGCGACTCGCACTTAAAACATCATTTGATGCAAAATGTGGAAATCAGCAAAAGAATACAAATGTCAATGGATAAAAAAGACTTTAAAGCATCTGTATGTAAGACTTGATTTGCTTCACAGCTCTGACAGCTCAACTGCTAAAGTAAAGCGAATTAGCAAATTGGATAGTACATCTTAATATTCTAGAATGATTTATATAGTTCGTATATATACAGCATGAATCTAGCTGTGATCGATTGTATGCTTTTAGCGTTTCATAAATATACCAGTTAGAATTGTAAACAACTGTAAACGTAACATATGAACGAAAGATGAAAATATCTTACCTGTAATAGTCAAAATAGAACAGAAGGTTTGAAATTTAACAAAAATTTTAAGATCCTGTATATGAGCGAGTTTAAAACGTGTGTTCTACGCATAAAAAACGCGCACGACCACAATTCCTTGCGCTAAATAAAATTTAGTTTAGAACCCCCTCTCTGCACAAATTAGACTGCTGCTACGCTCGCTCGCTTCAGGCAACTAGATTTTTGGCAAGAGCGTTGCACCGGTGTGGCGGTCTCATTGCTCCCCCGGTCTGAGCCATCTTCTATCACATAAACATCCTCTATTATGCGCATGCGTGAGTCAGCGGTTTTGCATTACAACATTTCCTCGTGGTCTGAGTTGTCCCCTTTCTCTCGCTGGCTGTTGAACAGAGCACAATTCTCACACGCGTTCGAAAATCTCAGTAAATTGCTTGGTGTTAAAAAAGAAAAATGGTTCCACAGCAAGAGCATGCCGGCATCGCAATAGCATACGTTCGATTCCCACCGGAGGACCTATAGTTGACTAATTTTTCCATCAAATATTCCTGGTTTGAATTTTAAGTGTGTATAATTCCACTCCAAATTAAGACCTGAAATTAAGAGCTAAGTCGTTTGAAGACGCTGCCACGCTGCTCCCTGGTTATATTGGTAATATGAGCACCAAAAAAATTGAGTACGGGTGCCAATTTTAGCCGTGCAATAAAACTGAGGGAAGTGTAAACGGTGCTTTATCTTTAATGCAACACGATATGGCAGTGTTATTAGGACCAGTGAAATCAATTTGTCTAAGCTTAGCCAATTTATATATCCAACTTTTTAAGCTATTGTATCTGCCTGACGGATTATTGTGAGTAAGTATTGTGAGCTTGTAGAATAGCTAAACATATACAGTACAAAGGATCGGAGAATTATTTCTATAAATCAGTAAAAGTACTCGAAGAAGAAGAAGAAAAGATTACAGTAAAACGTATTTTAACAATAGTCAACTTTTCTGTATTCTCTGTTTTTTTTTCGTCGAGAATACGGTTAATTTTCTCGCCAGAATCGTTAATTTCTTGATTTCAAACAGAGAACAACACCATTCCCGCCATTATTTTCAGTGGTTGCGTGTAGTTCTCGCGAGACGTCGCGTGAGGTAAAGTTAATATCACAGTGTGATAAATAGTCGGAAAATAAGTAAAGTAAATTTAAGAATTATAATATTCTGAATGACACATACGTATATTATACCTCAAATTCAAATTTCCCAATCAAAAAATATTTTTTTGTACCATTTGACGAGCATATTTTTCGCACGGTATCGTATCTCAGTCCCCTAGGCCTATTTCCGAGTGGGGGGTGTGACATTAGATTTATCACACTGTGACTTTAATTGGTAATCTTTAAGGATTATGTTGGGGAACTGAGCCCCCTCTTAAAAACATGCTTGAGATTATAGATCGAACAGTCCACGCATATATGACGAAAGATCAAACACCTTTTTTATACCGCCACGCATGTCCAAAAGCTATTGATTATCATCGAAGCCATCAACACGCGTGGATTTCAGCTTAACCATAATTGCTAACATGCATGCAGCAGGATTATAAGTTTAGCTTTCAACTCATTTCTTCAGGATTCGAGCTTTGAGATTTCAGACTTTAGAATGAAACAGGATTAAAAAATCCTATTCTCGGAAACATCCGGTCTCCTCTCGAGGAATGAAAAGGTAAAAGCATATTTCTCGAGTAACGTTGCCAGCCCGAAAATTGAATCCTGCTATGTTAATGTTTTGGTATATTCATTTACTGTAAAAACACTGAATTTTTATAGAAATGAATTATGATAATAACATCAGTATATAGCAGGATGAAAATTAATTGTCAGGCTGGCCACGCCACTGCATATTAACTATATTTGTTTATTTTAAATAGGCTCATTATAGCACTTGTTTCCGTTTTCCTTGTTTAGAAAAACGGATAATGATGGGCAACTTAACCACTGATCTAAAAACCACTGGATCGCGTAACTGCATAGTATATACATCCATCGTTAATCTTTGTGTGGTGATTACTTTCATTTGATAAAACCAGAGTAGCGACAATTACGATGAATGTATATACCTGGTTGCCGTGAACTCATTAACTTCACTTAGTATACACATAATTAAGGCTAATGGCGACCATCTTTGTGTGGCCACCGTTAATATGTATTTGGTTATGATTTAAAAGTGTTTCGCGTAATTTCTGATTATTGTTGGGCAACGTACTCCCTTAGTCGCTATTCGTCTCATTTTCGCTTTAAATCTGCCTGTGAATAACAGATCACACCAATTACAACTAAAGATAGGTTAATTATTCACTTTTCTAAACGTTTTAAAGCATGTTATATAAGATACAAAGAGCTCGACATACGCGGAGGAATTTATCTGAGAGTATAAAAGTAATTTAGGCACTGAATAATTCGATTTGTAAGCGTTTAAAAGCCTTGGAAACATTTGCTTATTATAAATATTCTGACTTCAAAATTAGTCGGTCAAATTAAAAGGATAAGTGAACCTGTAGTTCTTAGATGAGTTAATAAACTTGACATGGAGTTCTAAGACAAAGAAGTAGAGAAAGTTTGTAAAATGCGTATATAGCCAAGGAAAGTTTGTAATTTTTTATAATTATTTACACCTGCGTTAATTGCGGAAACACACTTCTGTTAGTAATTACAAAATTATGCAAAATTTGCCGACTTTTCCACGACTATGTGTTAATTCCATTTCTCTATTTTCCGCGTTTTTATACGCCAATTTTTATGCCGTTTCCGGAAACTTTAATCCACAGCGTAGATAAAAAATACTCCAAAGGTGTATAGTATTATCATATATTCATACTTATCGTATATGATATAGAAGTTATATATATTAAAAAAGCGGTCGTTATACATGCACTTTTGAATGCCATGGTGACTAATGACATTGTACTGATATGATAACACTGTATTTTTGCGTTTTGGGCGAAATAGAAAATATACATGCAGAAACCTGTATTATAGACATCAAAATAAAATGCTGATAAAGAACGCGACCTTGACTGTCGATTGGGGTAAACGCGATGGTCGGTTATAGAATGAAATTAAAACCTAGTTCGTTAATTTCAACCGTATGTTAATTCATTATCTTTGAATGAATTCTTTAATTTGTCAACGTTTTAATTACACAATTGAATTAAATTTTATGCTTTGTATAATATATACTGTAGATATGCATGTTTCAGCGTATATCTATAAATGTGTTAAACATAATTATATTTTTGAGACTTAGCCATACAGTATTATGGCCGCTTTTCAAAATAATAGTATATTGGTGAAAGTTATGATAAACCGCAGCTTTTTGATTTCGCCTCGATTTCTTTGCAAACTGCAAAATTTGTGTTTCTTAAACTTCACACGGACACACACCGGAAGCAATCTGCCAACACGACGTGTTTTTTCACTTTTCAAAAATCAAGTTTGCCGGATCATGCATGTAATGAATTCTTGATAATTCAGTATAGAAGAATAGTACGTTTTGACATGTCCGGTTCCCTTCCCGAATTTCTTTCAAGAATTGAATAATTTGCTTCTGAAAACTTAATCACGCGTCTAGCGTCCATATACGAAGTATGTCATTATTGAATTATGAACGACTGGGAACTGTAAGCACAAATAGGACCTGTATGTATGTATGTTTGTTTTCCGCTGGCTTAAAGGCTTGCAAGACTTGAATTTTTGCCGCCTTAAAATTTATTACATCAAAGAATACTGTGAACTAATTGAAGAGGTAAATATAAGGCAAAAATATAAATATCCTTCTGGCTTGTTAACAATTACCTTTCTTTTAGGATGTAGTTATTTTCTTTTAACGCAATTTGAGGATATTTCTAGCCCAAACAAAATTCGTTAATTATATTCGAGGACTATTCGATCCTAAGCTATATAGGACGTTAAACATGCTTAGACAATGCAGCATAAAAATATTGAGACAGTTTTAAGTGTTTCAAGTGGTTGAAACTTTGTTTTTATGTAAATTAATGATGGCGGGAAACAGCGTTCATTTCAATTTCATGCTTATAAATAAATAGACTCTAATAAAATTAAAATTGGTTTTAAGAATATTTTTTAAAAATGACTCATATTTGTAAGTGATTATTCATTTCGGAACTACTGTAAAGGTCAGAAAAATAAAAATACACAAGTACCTGTACGCTGAATAGTAAATTTGCAATGTAATTATATGCTCGCCGAATGAGTAAGGCAGGTGTATGTTGGTTTTCATTAAAATAGGAATTCTCACACTAAACGGTAGTTCAAAGGCAAATATGTTACAGTAGACTTGGAAGATATCTTCTTAAGGTATTACTCCTGATTGCGCAGGTATACTAAAAGGAAACGGATGTTATTACTGACAACATTTTGGAGAAGAAAGATAAGGTAAGTGCTCGTTCGATTGTTCTAAATAACAGAAAATATATAGAGAACAGTTTTAATAATAGAATTTTTTCTGTATAAACAAGATTGTTTGTCCAATATGGGTCCGAAAGGTTTTAATATCACAGAAATTTGCCGAAGAGATCCTACCACACTGAACGATGAGGAGTTTAATATCGCACTGGAGCACTGTGAATCTCCCTTTCCAGATGTGCCGACTGGTAGCTCATCAACATCATCATTCCCATCGTCGTCTTCATCAGATTCCCCTCCAATACTTGGATATACTTATTTCTATACCTTTCTTATTTTTGGTGGAATCTTGTTAAACCTGTTGGTCATGATCACGATATTTTCTAGAAATCGACTTCGAACAGTTCCAAATGCATTCATGGTATCGTTATCTGTGGCAGATTTTTTAATGACCACTGTTGCGCTTCCCTTAAGAATAATGGAACGTATTGATGAAAACAAGAACCATGTCATTACGTCATTATTATTCCCATGTATTGGAGTGGCATCCATATTCAGCTTATGTTGTGTAACCCTTGATCGGTATATGCACATAAAACAGCCATTGAACTATGAAAAATACATCAATAAAAGAAGAGCAATTGCAATAGTTACAGGTGTGTGGTTTTTCTCTATTAGTCAATCATTAGTATTCTTTCTCGTCAAAAACAATCGTCATCATGAAGCCATTTTCAACGACGTCCGAATTTTTTATTGTTTCGCAATTCCGTCAATATTCATCGTTGCTGCATATGCCAAGCTGTTTTTAATAGCAAGATCACATGCCCGGGTCATCGCTGCAACCTCAGTCAGAACCCCCGACCGACCGTGGTCGCAGAAAAAAGATTTTAAGATTCTCAAGAATATTGCATTGATCGTTGGCACTTTTATCCTGTGTTGGTTTCCATTCCTCTTCGCAGTCAGTTATGAGCTTCACCATTCAACGTTAACGAGAGAGTTTTATGTGCTCATGGGTATTTTAGAATGTTTTGCTTGCAGTACTTGTGTACTAAATCTTATTATTTACGGCATATTAAGACGAGATTTGCGGATATCAATGAAATATGTTGCTGGTTGTAAACGCGGAAGCATGGAGGAAAGTGAATAGTTGTAGACAATAAATCGGAAAACGATAATATTTGTAATAAAATCTATTCACAGATAATCGTTGACGTTTTTCTGGCAAACGTAAAACGTAATCTGCTGCTGAATATATTCATTGCTGAGATAATTAGAGGGCTTTCTAATGCACATCACTTGCAGGGCAAAAAAGTTAAGAGGTGATTTCTTAGGCCTAGGTTATACGTCGCATTTTGAAACAGGAGCCGTACAAACGGCCTGAAAAGGCCATAAAAATATGACATTTAAACAATGTAATAGATAAACTGAGGTATGCAATTGAATTAAATTTTATGCTTTGTATAATATACTGTATATATGCATGTTTTAGCCATACAGTACTATATGGCCGCTTTTCAAAATACTACTTTATTGGTGAATGTTATGATAAACCGCAAACTACTAGCACTCACACAGTGGAGTCGGCAGCTTGATAAGTGGGCGGGGGACTTATTCATATATTTGTGTTACATGATTAATTTCCTTTCAAATTGATTGTTTTAATGGTCTGTAAACATGAATATGTGAATATGTCCATCCCATTTATCGATGCCGACGACGCCACTGCTCACATCATACACATATTTTCTCGCTTCAAGACGTGTCTTAAAACCTATTAACTATCAGCTAAGCTATCGACACGTGTGGCTCTTCGCTAAATGTATTTATACTAAGACTTACGTTTAAAAAAAATTAAAGATTACATCAAACATAATTTTTTCAAACATTAAGGCCCTGTCACACTGTTGCGTATGATAGGAACGTATGAGTCGCGTATAAAGATCATTTCATTCATTTTTATACGCACGAAAAAGTCCGTAAAAATAGGACATTTTGGATAAAATTAACTTATTAAACGTATGAGTATCGTATGAGTAGCCTGTCGCTGGCGTATGCCAGCGTATGAATAGCTTACGAGAAGCGTTTGGAATGCGCATGTCAAGTACACCACTGGCGTTTCACAGACTTTAATTGTATATAAGCGGCAGTATTTTCACACGGCTCCATTCGAGAAAATGTCAAACCTACAGTGAAAAAAGAAGAAGACACCATGGCAAATAAGAAGACATCATCTACCCGCGGACGAAGAAAAGGAAAGAGGACTCCATCATCAGCCGTTGCCAAAGCTGACGAACAACGTGTTTTTGCACCTGCAGATGTAGTTGAAACACCTGATGATGATGCACTTATTCCTGAGACATCTTTGAATAATGCGCGACATGTTCCTGAGCTCTCAAAATCTCCAACACAACCTTCCCAAGAATCCCATAATTCATCAGCTTTATCATCTGAAACCATTGATGACTTCACCTCCTTCCGGCGGGCTGATAGCAATAATTAAGGAGAAAAATAAGAGGAAGAGGGCGAAGAAAAACCCCTACAACCTCAGCGCCACAGAAGGGGAGCTGATGCTGGAGTTTATCATGGACAATCCTGTGCTGTGGAATGTGAAGATGACAGATTATAGGCGGAAAGACAAGAAAGAGAAGATCTGGGAAGAGCAAGCACATCAGATGAACAAGACTGTTGATATCCTCAAGGGCTGGTTCAGATCGTTGCGCGACACCCATACGCGCCTTGACAAGAAGAAAAGCGGGGATAGTGCTCCAAACCTGACTGAGAGAGAACAGTGGATCCTCTCAAAGTTTGCCTTCCTGAAGACTGTCACTCGCCACCGACCGGAGCCCATGCAGAGTGTAAGTAGACAGCCATATTACCTTAGCAACATGATGACCAAGTAATTTGAGACAATTTGCACATGATATTTTTGGTCTTTCTAGGTGAAGGAAACCATCCAGCTTCACAGAGGAGATCTTAATGCTGCCGAGAGCGCCTGCGCTGATATGCAGGATGTCTTAGATGAAGTCACTCCAATACCATCATCTACCGCTGGAAGGTCCCACAAGCGACCTCAGGACACAGAGAGTGACGTCCTTGAGACTCTACAGAAGAGAGTTGCTGAGTCTGGCACCATCCTCAAAGACATCTACAAAGCCAAACAACAGCCCATTACAGCACGAAGTGTCTTTGCAAATTATGTTAAAGAGAGCCTTTTGACTATGTCCAAGTCCAAGTACAAGAAGGCAAGGTCCTCCATTAATAGGTTATTGTCTGAACTCATGGATGAGGACAGCGATGATGAATTTCCAAGTGCAATGGCGGCTCCATCTATCAAAGTTAACCAACAAGGGATCCCTTCTCAACCACCTCATGATTTGCACCCCACTACAAGTATTCCCTTCTGTTTATTTAGAGCATCAGCACCATCCTTCTCTGAGCATTATCAGAAACCCAGCAACATGCCTATAAACATGCCTCTGCCACCGTTGGTGAGAGGCTCTCAGCCCATGGAGTACATGCAGCAGTCTCACCAGCGGTTATTTTAGCGCCCACATCATCACAAGACTACCACTAAACAACAGCAGATGATTGCTCCTTCCCAACAACTTGCTCAGCAACCGTTGAAGCAAGGCCCGGTTCGTGCCTCTTTGGCTTCTGCAACAGAGTTAATAACGGAAACGTTTAGCCCAACGCCGCACAGTCCAATCTCAGCCTTTGAGCAAAGTCACCCGAACATTACTAGTCTTTCAGGATTTCGAGAAATCATGGAATCTACTGATGATATTTGATTTCAGGATGAGGTTCTCAACCTTCGACCACCAACGTGAAAGAAGTATTGACTATTTTGTTACTGTAGTAACTCTCACGATAATCGAATTGTCAAAATTAAATTCTCATTTTTTTTTTCTCATAATTTCATAATACACACTGCATTTACACCCTTGTCTAAAGGACAACATTGTATATATTCTAAAATCTTGCAGTATTAATGTTGGAGTGACTATATAATTAACATGTGTTTCGACATCTACAAAAAGTTTTGTTGTGGTTTAGTTTCGTTTACAATAATTTGATCTAAATCATTCTGTCTATGGAAATGCACCTGCCTCTGAGTTGACCCAGTGCTTCAACAGATTCCTTAGCCCCTTTCCTTTGTTGGTGGATGTGTTTCTCCCAACAACTGTATGTGTGTCGAGCAAATTTCTGTCTTGTCTCCATGATCCAGGAATGAAGATGTTGTTCATGTTCTCTGCATGGTCTAGATGCTGGTTTTGTAATTCAGGATAGCGTATCCTCATGAGATTGTGCAGGACAATACAAGCTTTAACGATGAGCTTCACTGCATCAGGGTGATTCTGCATTGTAGTTAACAGAACCTGGAAACGATTCGTCAGGATGCCGAAAACGTTTTCAACTACTCTTCTGGCGCGGGAAATCCTGTAGTTAAATATCCTCTCTTCATAGTGTAGATCACGGCGGCTGTATGGCTTCATCATTGTCTCTCGGAGGGCAAAGGCATCTTCACCTACAAAGATGTAGGGGACACTCTGATAGTCATTTGGTAAAGCATCGGGGACGGGGAATCCTATAGTTCCGTCTTCTGTTAATTCTTTGATTTCAGAGTTGTTGTAGATCTGTGCGTCCGATGATGACCCTTTACCACCGAGGTCTGCCCAGATGAATTTATAATCTGCGTCTACAAGGCCCATGAGTACAACAGAGTAGAATCCCTTGTAGTTGAAATATTGGGATCCACTTTTTGGTGGACACTTGCAGGCAATGTGCTTTCCATCTATAGCACCACATGTATGGGGGAAGTTCCACCTCTTGAGGAACTTATCAGATATGGCACGCCATCCCTCTGGCGTGGTAGGGCAGGTCATTACTTCGGACATGTATTCGTCGATGATGGCTTGGCAAACCTCTTTGACAATAAGTGACTGGGTGTTGTGGGGGACCCTCCATCCGTACTTCATGGCTGAATACGTGCTCCCAGAGGCAAGGTGTCGCAAAGTCAAAGAGAGCTTCAACCCAGGCTCCAGGGGTCGCCTATACCAGGTATGTTTCTTGGTGATCCTGGGACTCACTCTTGCCAAAAGCTCATCAAACATCTCGGGGACCATCCGCATAAAGTTCTTGAAACATCGCGTATCCTCGCTTCGGAGTTCCACCAGAAGTTGGTCGTAAATGCCAAACTGCCTTCGCCTTCCGATCCATGATCTCATCCATACCTCACGTCTTTTTCTTTTTCTCCTTTTCCTTCTGTTATTTTCTATGTGACGAGTCGTCAAAGCTATGAGATCAAACTAGTATTCAAGAACAGCTAACTCCATCCTTTATCCTCGAAGGTACAAGATGATATGAAGGCATCCAACATAAATATTTTACACAATAAATGACATGCTATAATATTTATATACCCTTTCTCGTAACGTTTGCAATACGCTGAGGATACGACGACCAGGCGTTAACTATACGCTAATTGTACGGTAAATGCGTTACTTAATCGTCAGTCATACGCTAAGCCCTCTATAGACGTTAAACATACGTCACACATAAGTTAGACCTTCGTTACTGATGCGCTATCAACACGTTAGTTGTACGGCACACTTACTCATTTGCGTATGATTAGCGTACTCAACCTATTAGTACAGTACATTTAGCGTCCTTCTGCCGTATTCAGCGTATGACTAGCTTATCTTTACCGTATAAACCATACGTCCAAACACGCACAAGATTTTTAAGCATGCTTAAAAAAAATTTTCTTCCTCGGCGTATACCAGCGTATGTGACCGTGCTTGGAACGTGTATAACTTACGCACGACGTACCACCAACATATTTCAGCGTATTCCGGCGTATGCGTAATATTTATCATACGCTGCCATACGCTAATGTGATACGCAACAGTGTGACAGGGCCTTTAGCTAAAGTTTCCTCTCAAATTTAAGAACATTGTCAGAGCAATGACAAAATTATTGAGTAAATTACACATATTTACAACATATTATGTATTACTAGTGAAGCGTGTATGAAATCGAACTAAGAGAAGAGGAATATGGTTGCTTAATAAACCTTTTTCATAATGACGTCAATTAACGCGGAAAGTATTATGTTACACGACGTTTGATTGGCTCGATAGTTTTGTGGAGCCAATTAAATTGCATGTGACATTATACTATAAGAGTTTGACGTCATTATGTAATCGCAGTAGTGTGTAAATATCATAATTATTACGTTGAGGCATTCAAATAAAGCAATCAGATTGTAACAAAGGCTTGATTTCATTAGAGGGACATTTTTTGAGAGACCCTGTATACCTGCCCCCCAAATATCGGTTCTGGCTATATAATTATAGCCACTCCCTTGTATGTTGAGAGAAAGTTTGAATCTGGCAAGGAGAAGATTCTCTCGAATAGGAATTTTTTGTAACAGCACAGTTAGTGAAACATTGCCGTATGGTATTTTGATTACATTCAACGGATTGCATCGATATTTATCAACCCTCCGCTCGGAAGATTCGGCGAAATATTTGCCGAAGTTATGATATTTTCCGAGATGCCTTTGCCTGAGAGAAATATCATTTCTGAGGGAAACATTTTGAGGGTCTATAAATCATATATTATACCGAAAAAGTATTGTGAGCTTGAAGAATAGCTAAACATACACTACAAAGGTTCGGAGAATTATTTCTATAAATCAGTAAAAGTACTCGAAGAAGAGAAAAATAAATTACCGTAAAACGTATTTTAACATTAGTCAACTTTTCTGTATTCTCAGTATTTCTTTCGTCGAGAATACGGTTAATTTTCTCTCCAGAATGGTTAATTCCTTGATTTCAAACAAACAACAACATTATTCCCGCCATTATTTTTAGTGGGTGCGTGTAGTTCTCGCCAGACGTCGCGTTAGATAAAGTTAATATCGCAGTGTAATAAATTTTATGTCACAGTGAAATAAATTTAATGTCACTCCTGCAACTGGGAAATAGGAGACTGGGATGCGATGACGTGAAAAATATCCTCATCACATGGTATAAATAATGTTCTTTTGATTGGGCAATTTAAATACGAGGTATATATGCGTAGATGTGTCATTCAGAATATTATAATCAGTCTTTAACTTACTTATTTTTGCGACTTTATAACTGGCAATCTTGAAGGATTATGTTGGAGAATTGAGCCCCCCTCTTAAAAACATGCTTGAGTTTATAGATCAAACAGTCCACTGACGCATATATGACGAAAAACCAAACACTTTTTTCACACCGCCACGCATGTCCAAAAGCTATCGATTATCATGTAAGCCATCAACACGCGTGGATTTTAGCTTATCCATAATTGCTAACATGTGCAGCAGGATTATAGGATTATAAGTTTACTTTCAACTCATTCTTCAGGATTCGGCTTTGAGATTTCAGACTTTAACAGGATTAAAACATCCTATCCTGGGAAACGTCCGGTCTCCTCACGAGGAATGAAAAGATAAAAGCATATTTACCGGCCATGTTAATATTTTGATTTATTCATTCACTGTTAAAACACTGAATTTCTATAGAAATAAATAATGATAATAGCAACAATATATTGCAGGATGAAAATTAATTGTCACGCTGGCTACGCCACTATCTTAAATAAGCTCATTATAGCTTATATACTTTTTCCGTTTTCCTTGTTCTAAAAAACGGATAATGATGGGCCACTTAAACACTGATCTAAAAACCTCTGGATCGCTTGCCTGATTATTGTTGCATGGGCAACGAACTCCCTTAATCGCTATTCCTCTCCTTTTCCCTTTAAATCTGCCTGTGAAAACAGATCACACCACTTTTCTAAACGTTTTAAAGCATGTTGTATGAGATACAGAGAGCTCTACATACGCGGAGGAATTTATCTGAGAGTATAAAACTAATTTTGGCACCTAATAATTCGACTTGATTAGCTTTTTATAAATATTCTGACTTCAAAATTAGTCTGTCAAATTAAAAGGATAAGTGAACCTGTAGTTTTTAGATCAGTTAATTAATTTGACACGGAGTTCTGAAGCAAAGAAAATTTTACGTGCATACATTCGACTCGATTAACTTTGCTTAATAGGCTTGGCCGCAGTTAAACCTATATTCCTGATGGGCATGCTGCAAAATTTATTTATATGTACAATTGGGAATTACACTTCCTGTGCTAAAAACCTCATGGAAATTATTTATATCAACACAATGGCCATGATTGGTGGAGAAAGTTTGTAGAATGCGTATATAGCCACGGAAAGTTGGTAATTTTTTATAATTATTTACACCTGCGTTAATTGCGGAAACACACTTCTGTTAGTAATTACAAAATTATGCAAAATTTGCCGACTTTTCCACGACTATGTATTAATTCCATATTCTCTATTTTCCCCGTTTTTATTCCCCAATTTTTATGCCCTTTCCGGAAACTTTAATTCACGGCGTAGATAAAAAAATACTCCAAATGTTTATATAGTATTATCATATATTCATATTTATCGTATATGATATAGAAGTTATATTAAAAAAGCGGTCGTTATACATACACTTTTGAATGCCATGGTGACTAATGACATTGTACTGATAACTGTATTTTTGCGCTCTGGGACGAAATAGAAAATATGCATGCAGAAACCGATATTATAGACATCAAAATAAAATGTTGATAAAGAAGACGACCCCCTTGTATTTTGAGTGTCGATTGGGGTATACGCGTGGGTCAACTATAGAATGAAATTTAAACCCAGTTCGTTAATTTCCACCGTATGTTAATTCATTATCTTTGAATGAATTCCTTAATTTGTCAACGTTTTAATTACACAATTGAATTAAATTTTATGCTTTGTATAATATAATGTATATATGTTTCAGCGTATATGTATAAATGTGTTAAACATAATTATATTTTTGAGACCTAGCCATACAATACTATGGCCGCTATTTAAAATACTAGTATATTGGTGAAAACTGTGATAAACTGCAGCTTTCTGATTTCACCTCGATTTCTTTGCAAACAGCAAAAATTGTATTGCTTAAACTTCACACGGACACACACCGGAAGCAATCTGCCAACACGACGTGTTTTTTCACTTTTCAAAAAGCAAGTTTGCCGGATCATGTAATGAATTCTTGATAATTCAGTATAGAAGGATAGTACGTTTTGACACGGTTCCCTTCCCGAATTTCCTTCCGGAATTGAATCATTTTCTTCTGAAAACTTATTCACGTCTAGTGTCCATAGAAAGTATGTCATTATTGAATTATGAACGTCTGGGAACCGTAAGCACAAATAGGACTAATGTATGTTTGCTTTCCGTTGGCTTAAAGGCATGGAAGACTTAAATTTTTGCCGACTTAAAATTTATTGCATCAAAGTAAGTGTGAGATGGACAGTTTCGACCTTTGATGCGCTTATTTGAGCGAAATCATGCAACACTGGTCCATTTTTAGGTCAATTTTCTTCTGGTTGCCTTCTCTTTAGCATGCAGTAACGGTTAAGCTCCGCTGCAGGAAGCCAACTAAACGCGTTGTTTATTCATAAGCATCTAAAATCTCTAGATTGCATCTTATTGTGAAACCTTTATCTGCAACGCCACCAAAATTGCCTTATCGAAACGTTATGAGTGCACATCGAGGGCTGTCTCCATACGTGCGTCTTCTCTCGTTAAAGCCGAAACTTTCACCTGTCTGTTTGAATTGCAAATTTTACGAGGTTAGAAACCTGGGAAAAAAGAATACTGTGAACTAATTGAAGAGGTAAATATAAGGCAAAAATATAAATATCCTTCTGGCTTGTTAGCAATTACCTTTCTTTTAGGATGTAGTTATTTTCTTTTAACGCAATTTTCGCTCGAAACAAAATTTGTAATTAGATCCGAGGACTATTCGATCCTAAGCTATATTCTTAAGGGGTATATTGGACATTAAACATGCTGAGACAATGCATCATATAAATAATGAGACAATTGTAAGTGTCTCAAGTGGTTGAAACTTTATTTTTATGTAAATCATGTCGGGAAAACAGCATTCATTTCAATTTCATGCTTATAAGTAAATAAACTCTAATACAACTAAAATTCGTTTTAAAAATATTCTTTAAAAATAACTCATATTTGTAAGGGATTACCCATTTCGGAACTACTGTAATATTAATAGTGAGAAAAATAAAAATATATAAGTACATGTACGTACGCTGAATAATAAATTTGGCATGTAATTCTATGCTCGCCGAGTGAGTAAGGCAGGTGTATGTTGGCTTTTGATTAAAATAGGAATTCTCACACTACACGGTAGTTCAAAGGCACAGATGTTACTGTAGACTTGCAAGATATCTTCTTAAGGTATTACTCTTGTTCGTGCAGGTATTCTAAAAGGAAACGGATGATATTACTGACAACATTTTGCAGAAGAAAGATAAGGTAAGTGCTCGTTAGATTGTTCTAAATAACAGAAAATATAGAGAACAGTTTTATAAATAGAATTTTTTTCTGCATAATTTAAGCTTGTGACACTTTGACATGCAAAATAATGCACCTTCTACGTCCTCGTTTGGTTTTTTTTATTCCGTAAATAAAGGGGAAATAACTCTCCTACAGAGCTATTAAACAAAATAAAGGGAGTAGTTTGAAGTTGCGTGTACATCAGTGTTGAAAATGACTATTTATTAATTAGTTTCTAACCCAACAGATGTTCAGTGGCAAAACTTTAACTTATTTCACTGCGCTAACATATTATTTGTACTCATAAAAACAATGATGTGGACCCCAATTTATTTTATATCAACTCAATTGGTTTTTAATTATTGAAAATGCCGGGAAAATTAAACTACTGTGGGTTAGTCGAAGGAAAATGTACATTTGCAACGAATAATTGCTTTTAAATTAGCGTGAAGCTTAGCAGCATGTCAAACCAACAATTGTATATTGCATGCCTTCAACAATTTTTATCTTGCATTTACTAATAGATTTAATTGCCATAGTACACTACCCAGTTATTTTCCCTTGTGTATACTGTGCTCCAACTGAATTTGTCTTTACTATGGCGATAATCACTCGGTACATAATTTATTTTTACACAAACGTTTGCATAATAGATTGTATGCTATCTTGTATAACAAGATGCACTCCAAAGATGTCAATGCTTGTATGTATGAACGAGATAGCATGTTTCCTGCACGCGAATTTGCGATAAATTTTTCGGCCACGTTCAAAACGATTAATTCAGAGGGGAAATATAATTTAACTTTCAAAACCTAATCGGCTTTTTTTTGTTTTGTTATATTTCACGATCTCATTTACATAGTTCAAAAATCGCCCAGCACCTTCAAACGTGAAATAAATAAGCATGCATGCATGACAGCTATACGCCACAACATTGAATATCTCATAACTTTGGGTAAAAATGCTATTTGAAATAAACAACTCACTATAATAAGGATAAAGGTTTACAATTAACACAACTTTTACCTGTTAACGGAACACCTTCTTAATATCAGATAATTTTTTATATCCGCTGAAATTGAGACGCCATGCAGTCGTGTACTTGCATTTTGCAGGTTTTGTGAATATTTAATAAGATGCTATATCAACTGATATGATAATAACGCTAATATCTATAATATGCTTGCCTTGATAGCCAGCTTGATGCGACGAATGCAACGACTTTATTCATTATTAATTTTTTTTTGGAAACGTATAGTGCTTTATTATAGTTCTCAACATAACCGTATACGGGGCGTAAGTTTTAGGTGGGAGCAACGAAAGTTTTGCCCAGCTGACATGAGAAGTTCCCGACTTTTAATTAAACCTCAAATTGCCCTCGCCCTGGCTAACGTCAGGTAACGGTCTTAGACAGCGGGAAACTCATCGAAGACGGGAATTCGGTCACAGACGTGTTTATCGTATGAGTCTTCCCGTGTAAACTTCCCGTTTAAACACACGGGTAAGCTGGACGGAAATCCCGACTGAACTTGCATTTAACTCGACTTAAACTCGCATTTAGACGGATAAATCATCGAGTTTCTGAAATATCAACACGCGGTCATGCACGGTACAAGGCTAAATATTAAATAAACAAAACGATTATCATAATACATAATTACGAAAGCCTTTTTAGCATTACCCGACCCATCATATACGTACAAATTTATTCATCCCTATTTTTATACATTAAGGCGACAGGCCCTTGATTTTTTTTTGTTCAAAGTCGTCTCATTCCATTGTTTACACCTAGTTTTCTTCTTGATGCATCTTGAACAGCCGATAGTTACAAGACGATCGGGGACTTGGGGTAGTGTCGCAGCTCCTCGCAACAACAATTTTCATTGGCTGAACTTTACAATACATTTCTGTTTCAACCAATTGCATCGCTTCGTTCTTTAGAAAGCATAGAAAAGCATTATTCAATTGGGCGAAAGCTTCCGAGAGCTGCGACATATCCCGATTCGTTACTCAGCAAGTACTGTAAATGGAGGTAATTACCCCCCCCTGCCAACATTTCCATTTTTAATATAGGCAAGGGGGGGTGATTGTGGAAGTAAGCCATAACACGTAAACGAGGCTCATAAACAAGATGGAGTCTAGTTTATCCGTTAAGGCTTGCTTTCACACTTACAAAGTCAAAGTAAAACAGTATGTTTAATGCATTTGTAGCAAAAATATATTTGGCTCGATTAATTCGGACAAAACCTGACACTGTAATGAACGTAAAATACATTCCCATGTTTAAAAATATAAAACAGCGAAGTTGTGAGGTAATTACCGGAAAGGTCAATTGTCTTTGCATGGCATGATACGGGCCGAACGAACTAGATTAGACCGAACCAACACCTGTTACCGATAACCAAAATTATATTGCCTCCCCGGGTTATCTTTCCAGTGTAATTATAAAATAAAATGTGTTAGATTCAAAAAGCGATATACATATATAGCATGAGTTTGTTTCATTTTTCTAAAACGTAGATAAAACGCCTTCATAGGTACCTTTTCCATGCACGACTGAATCAAATAAAGAAATGTTTTATACACTTTATTCATCAGAAACAAGAATGTAGCGACGTGCTATTCTATTGCGAGGTCTGTGCGATAAAAACCGAATGCAATACTTTCCCGTACAGACCTAGTAAACGAGATTAATAAGGGATTTATTATATTTGGCCTTTATTCTTTGATTTCTTATAATGAATGTTTTCACAAGCGTGCAAGATCAATTTCTTGAGTGAGCAAGATGCCTTTTTCCAGACCGGTAATCAACCAATCAGCGTGCGGCATTTATTTTAGACATGTAATAATATACAGTACTATATATAATACTTATATACGCATATTAGCATGTAAATTATAGACAAGTAGCTACATCATGATCAGCATGTAAATAAACGACATAACGAGGCAATTTCATCAAAATGTGTAGTTTTATTTCAAATAAAACCATTCGCTATTTAGCTGCCTATGGTAATACAAAACGAAAAATGCTTCTATAAGGACTTCGTTACGAAGAGAATTGGAAAGCAGAGCCAGCAGGTGCTTTTTTTATTTATTCGTCTTAATACAAACTCTATGCCGGGTATCCCCCCAAAAAGTGCTGCGGTGTAATTCAAAATAGCTTTTTATCGAGTAAAGTTATCGAGATGCTTTATAAACTTAGAGCAAAGAATAACTTTTTTATATATATTTTTTATATTATGTTATTGTTGTGATCTGTAGCTTAGCCATCCGGTCCTGACGAGTGACGATTTTGTCTCGCTATGTCTCTCTTTAGAAATTTATTGTTTTCACTGTCATTGAACCCCAAAATATTAGTATAGGGGTACAAATCGTCATGCTTGCTAAACTACGGATGTGTTTTTAAGAAAATTTACTTAAAAATCGGTACATTATTTCGGAATGTCTAAAAAATATGCAAAAACGCTGTGTGAAAATATTAATTAATTATGCTTAGCTAAACTGAAGCACGCACTATATTAACAGTAAAAGTGGACAAATAACAAACCGTTGCATTTTTTTTGCTACACCACAGCAATTTATTCAAATAATTTATTAAAATATAAGTTAGGATAATGGCCAAATATTTCTTAAATGCGTGCAGTGCTTGTTCCGTTATTTGCATAATTTAGACACATCTATAAATTCACAAAGTTTCAACACAAATATCCTGTGACTTTTAGGTAAAATATAACTGTAATTTATACCAAGATCTAAGTTCACATTCCCTCTATCTAATGAAATTTTCATTTCAATTAAACGCTCCGCTGGTTAAAAAATTAATATCAATCAAACAGGAGAACTTTTTTGTGACACCCGCGGTATAGACAAGAATACTCAGGAAGAAGCATCTGAAAGTTTCCTTCATGAATATATTCATAATAGTTACAGGTGATAATCGAATTGTCTATTTATATTACTTATAGTTTAAATATAGTTTAAAGTAGAAATGAACAGAACTTCCCCAAAAAGCATTTTGATGCAACAATTAAACTAATTAGGTAAATGAAGGAAAAGCGTATTAACTTGATATTATATAAATTTATGAAACAAATTTGGTTTAGGTAGTAATTGTAATGCTTATATACATGCTGCACGAAGGAGACATAAATCATATGTCGTAATAAGTTCCAATATAACCAGGGAGCAGCGTGGCAGCGTCTTCAAACAACTTAGCATAAAATGTGGTATAACAACTGTCTATAAATAGACAAAACACTTCTCCACCTGAGGGCCTTCGTCAGGAGAGTTAGTATGAAAATTACAGGGGAGAATACATGTTTTGTATGGGGGCAAAACACGTGATAATGGGTTAATAGAAAAAAAAATGTGAAGTGAGAAGTGTTTTGTCTATATTTAGGCAGTTGTTATACCGCATTTGATGCCATGTGTTGTAATATATTACCTTTATTATTTTCCTTAGCTACTTGCAGCATGGAGGAGTGATATATTTTGATATATATTATTACCCTTATTCACACGGTCTTATAATTCTCGGGAATATGGCGGGAATATTGAAATTCACCATGATTATATGACGTCGGTCAGGGATCACGCGATATTTTAAACTTTGTGAAAACTCTTTTTCTACAGTCTGAGTTTAAACATGATTTTTCATTGATCTTTCCTTGATTTTTGTTGTTATGTGTAGCATGGGTTAATGAAAGAGTTTTTCCTCCGGTTTTTCAGTAGAGTTTATAGCAGGCGGACGTCATGAAAGCCAAAGCTAGTCCAGGTCAAAGTTGCAGGTCGGAAGTAAATAAAGCCTAAAGAAACGCATCTTTTTTCGCTTTGTTGTGCAAATGACATTCACGACCCAACATATTTTTGTTCATAAAGCAATAATTTTTCTTAATATATATATTATTAAGTTCTTATTCGATTTTCGAGTGAAGTGGAAAAAAGGCTTTAGTTTGATGTCTAGTTTCATTTGAAACTTCGTTGCATACGATAAGACATTATTACATCTGTGTTTTTTATGAGAATATTATTAATCATTAATCAATACGAATAACGATATGCTTTAAGTAATGATATTAATCTTTTTTGCAGGATTTTTAACGAAGTGTATAATGGCATCGAATATCACCACGGCAATATGTCAAAAGAAAATCGATAATTTAACTGATGAGGAATTTGATTATTATCTCGAGGGTCATTGCGATCCAGATAAACCAACTTGCGCCTTACCTCTAACGTCGGGATTTATCGCCGTCTACGCCATACTTATTTTTGGTGGAGTCGTGTTAAACCTCCTGGTTCTGGTCACGATATTTTCCCGAAATCGATTGCGAACAGTAACAAATGCATTCATGGTCTCATTGTCTGTAGGAGATTTCTTGTTGGCAACTGTGATTATTCCCGTGAGGATAAACGAACGTTACCTCTCGACAAGTTTCGCTGCAACAAGAATAATATATCCATGCATCGGGGTAATCACCATACTCAGCCTGAGCTGTTTAACTTTAGATCGGTATCTGAATATAATGCACGCTTTGGACTATGACAGATACATGAATAAGTCGCGAGCTGCTGTTATGATTGCAAGTTGTTGGATCTTTTCCATTCTTCAATCGTGCCCGTACTTGTTGATTCACGAAAGTGATACGTACAAGAAAGCAATTTACAACGACGTTCGAGGTATTCTCTGTTTTGTATTACCGGCAATACTTAATTGTGTCGTTTACACTAAATTGTTCGTGATAGCCAAAAGACATTCACGCCATATTGCTGTAACATCAGCGAGTATACCTCATTGCCGCCCGTTGCTGCTGAGACAGGATATGAAAATACTCACCATTGTTGTGTTACTTGTCGGTACATTCATCGTGTGTTGGTTTCCATTCCTTTTCGCTGTGAGTTACGAACTCCACCATGATAACTGGGAACTGAGCAAACCGTTTTGTTTGTTTATGGATATCTCAGAATGCATCTTGATGAGTACGTGTGTGATAAATCCTATCACGTGCGGTCTTTTCAGAAGAGATCTTCGGACATCACTGCGCTTTGTTGCCGCTTGTCAACGAGAAAGCGTTGAAGAAATTGAACTAAGCTAAACTGTAATCTGCGGACTTTCCTTTTTGGGGATAGTTGTATAAAAACGTTGTTAGCGCTAACTCCAGTTATAAAGTAGTTAAAAAGTAGTTAAAAAGTAGTTAAAAAGTAGTTAAAAAGTAGTTAAAAAGTAGTTAAAAAGTAGTTAAAAAGTAGTTAAAAAGTAGTTAAAAAGTAGTTAAAAATAGTTAAGTCGGTTGTATAAAAATGTAGTCACCCTTAACTGGAGTTAAAAAGTAGTTAAAGTTAACTATCCTCAAGGGCATTGTTAACTTTCCAAATCGTAGTTAAAAGTGGCGTCTTGAGCTTTTGAGGAGTGAGAAAACATTAAAATCAACACATACTAAGGTTGTCAACCGTTATCCACTCAGAAAAGACCCCGTCGAAGCTTGTAAACTCTCAATATGCTTTTATTTTTTTTCATTTGGGCAGCAACAGAGTATTTTTTGGTTCGGGAGACCCGTCGATGCCAAATTACGATCCTAGCAAAGATTAGCCATCTCCATTTTCACTGTCATGGATAGTTTGACTCAAAGGGACTTTTTATATTCAGAGCGCATTTTTCGTTGAATTATTTTGAACTTGTTTCCTTGTTTTATTGCATTTTTCCAATATTTTAGATCAAAATATTGTCAATTTTTGTAAGTACGTAAATTCATGCTATTTCTCTGTTTAACAACCCCACGCAAGCTCCACGCAAGTTAACTACGTGATTAGTTAATCATCCGACAAACTACGTTTTGTGCAACGCAGTTAAGTCGTGTAGTTAACTAATCATAGTTAAGGATTTAACCACAGTGATTAGCGCTAATCATAGTTAAAGTTAACTACGTTTCTATACTACCGGCCCCAGGCTTTCATCAGCTCTGCTTTGGAGAAAGTAGTGATATTGACCATACATTAATTTGGGGACAAGGCTTTTGTTTAGCTACATCCGAAAAGCGGTCTCTTGATTCATTGTCACCAGTCTCTACCGCAATTTCGGACTATTTAATTTAACAATTAGACAACAAGTCCAAGTTGTCTATTCGCTCATAGACAACGAAGGCGAGTTGTCTAATTGTTTTATTATACACCCTGTACCTAGATATATTAACTTCGAGAATATAATCGATACACCGCAATTACACCGAAAAATAATTTAATTAATTCAATTTTATATACGGTCGCGCGAGCGAATTTTTCCCAAACGTTCACCATCACGAATACACAATGGTTGAGTAGCTAATCAGAATGTAGAATTTATTATAGACAATAGTCGGGTGTATGCTAAAGTGAACAAGACGCCTGTTCTGGCGTTAACTCCGGCGCACGTGCCAGTCTTTAATATAGAGCTTCTGAACATATAAACAATACAGTTCATAATATTTCATATTCGCATTTAGATGCCTTGCGAACCTATAAATGTTCGATCGCGAAATTCAGAAGCACATCGTACTTTAAAAAGCATAGAAGTTCAATTGTTCAAACATGTAAATAAACCGCATGATACATTCGCTTTGTCTTACACTTTTCCTTTGGAATTCGCGCTTATATAGTTATATTTATAAATCTTCAATCCTGTGCAAACTACGACGTGTCAACGCGCCCATACACGACCACATCATCTTGTTAAACGGCGAAATAGCAGCGATATTATTAAAATAGGACCAGAATCTACATGTATTAAATATATTCCTACCCCAATTCAATCTAAACTTAGTCGAAAAGCATGAAAAGAACGGTTTATTTGTAGCTCTTGGAGGAATTGCCGTATCATGCGAGCGAAATCGAATCGCGCATCGGAAAATTAGCCAAAGCTGTGCACCACAACTCTTGGCAGATAAGACTGGGACGTAGATAAATACGGTTACATACACATTTCAAATACTAGAATGTTTCGCGCCATTCAGACTTGCGACGACGAAAAATAAAAAAAAAACAACAAAACAAAACCGGGGCGAATTTTCAACTCCGTCGCTGACGCCGGAGTAATTAGTTCTGTGAACGTGATCACTTTAAACTTGTTAAATGACCTTGGCTTAGACGGCTAATAAAGTTGTACAACAAAGTTATTCACGTGCATTATTAAGAAGAAATCAAAAGAATGCGAAGTCTATTATTTAGTACTTTACACGGTTTGATAAGATATTCCACGTCAGATAACACTTACAGTGCAAGGTATGCCTTCAAGGATCTAAAATGGTGCTATTCAATTTCGTTTTTTCATCTTTATTGAATTTTAAGTCTCCAGTGATGTCTGAATTGTTATAATGCATTCCAAGAGTTGCTTTGCCATTAAAATAATTCATCTCAGTTAACTGTCAGTTAAACACGTCCGTCCGTAATACAAAAGTATACAATATTTGCTAACTTCGCATGGCTATAATATTTTTCTATACTTTACCTTACTAATCGAGTTAGTTACATAACACACTGCCGCCTCCAAAAGTGTACAAAATTTGCCAACTTCGCATGGCTAAAAATTTCCTATAATACATCACATTTTGCGGCCAAACTTGGCAATTATACTAATTTCGGTATGTTCTTTTTCACTGTGGTGATTTATTTCCTTCTTAATACCGTGATCATATGTTGGTCTATTATGCAAGTGGTCCATTGAGATAAAAACATTTGAGAATCATCAGCTATCGGCTTATTTAAGTCGTTTCATCAGCTCAGAGGGTTAGGTCTAGCTAGCTCAGGAAATATTTGCTTCTTTGAAATAGTGAGGTGTTGCTGCTTGCATTGTATTACTATAGTTTATTTTTTATTGAAGAGGCAAGAAAGTAAGGAATTTCATTTACAAAATTTTACTAAAATTTACAGCCATGCAGACTGAGTGCATATTCACAGCGGCCAAACTGACAATTTAGCCCTGGTGCCGGTTGTACGAAAGGCGGAAAGCGCTATCCAACGGATAGTGTTTTTTTCAATCGCTCTAAAATTGCTTGTTGTTTAGCGTAACCTGGATTAAACCTTAATATTATTAAGTTGGTGGATCTTTTTCATAACTGTTGGCTACAAATCTGTAATATCATTGCTTGTCAGGCATGTTTTAATTAAGCGGTTGAAAAATTCACTATCCGGTGGATAGCGCTATCCCGCCAGTTCACCTTTCGTACAACCGGTCCCTGCTTTGCGAATTTTAAAGTATTTCTCATCATTCGCATTTTCATAATCCATGGCCGGGCTGCATGGCCGTGCCACTCCTTATTTAGACGTGTCATCAAATGTTTTTCTGGTAATTAAACTAGAAAGCGTGACTATGTCACTTAATATACCACCAGTTACGGTGTTATGTAAAGACGGGGAAATAAGCAATCAGTCAAGTCAATGTAATGTGCATATTTGTAATTTGTTCAATAATGATAATGTATTTAGCTTAAGGTTAATTAATATAAACGGATATTGAAATTTTTATGGACAAACGTATAGGAAGAATATTATATTGAGGTAGGTTATGGTGTAGAGTAATTGTTCACTGCAATGCAAGCTGCAGGTGTTTATCGCGTAAGATATTATTACTACTTTTTGAAGTACATGTGCTCTGTTACCCTGAAAATCTTTAATTATTTTGCATTAATCTTAATTTTTATAAATAATTGTAATACTAATACGATAACATCTAGTCAAAAATTCCTGCATAATTGAACAAGCTAGAAACTCGTTTATCCAGGACTCTAGCTAGAAGTTTAATCTTGGTGTGAGTACATATTCATGATTTTCTTTGTACGCGATTGTTTCTACGGTAGCCATATCAACATGCATGAATATATGAATACACCCCAAAAAATTAATCGTTTACGGCCCTGCCTTTATCTAACATCGGATGCGCTACGATTGTACTATAAATACGAAGTGTGAGAGCAAAAAACCAATGCAATTGTGCAGTGCTTTAAACATCAAACTTGTGATAGAATAAATGTCTCACTCAGTCCTTCGACAAATATCTCTGATTAAAATGAATAAAAACTTTCCGACTGTGTTTGCGTCAGCAAATAATTTTTTTGAAGGAAAAAGGCATCGACAGCTTTGCTATTGACATAAGTGCAAATTAAAGGTTTGGCATGTGCATGAAGGCAAAGGAAAAACAGTTTGGAAGGTTTAGCCATGCCAAGCAGCATTCAGCGGTATTCTACAAAATATCCACCCTTTACTTCATTATCGCAGGTTTCATTTTCCAACAGGGAGAGTTTGAACAAGAAGGATTTGACATGGCAAAAAATATTTCAACACTCGTGATGCTTCTCTTGTTCCTAGTTCTTACTAATACAGGTGAGTTATGTTTAGAAATGTTTATTTTTTTTTATCCTAGCCTTTCCTGCAATCTGATTGGCTCTAGCAGCGGGCTGAATTTTACGATATCTGACCACGGTTTGGAATCCTATATTTCATGCTCGAGCGAAAGCATATTTGTTTTGTTTTTTTAAAAATTTATTCGCAAACTTTTGCCTCTTTTTTTAAATGTGGACCTAATGATTATAAAGTTTTAAAACTGAGGGTGAATTTTAGTAAATTAATTAAACAAATGAAGTTTTGATTGTTTATGCTTTTGTAGCCTCTGCTGAGTCATACACGTTTATTATTATACGACCGAACCCCGCTTTTTGTAAAAAAAATCAATACAGTATTTACTGTTTTGCTCAGTCCAGATAGAAAAATATTCTCCCCCGGTCTCAAAAACATCCCTCCAAAGGCCACAGGTCATTTTTGACCCTCGGGAAAATATTTTTCTATCCGGACTTCGCAGCCGGTAAAAAACATATATTTACTTGGATCATTTTTTAATTTTTGGGCGATCTCATACATCTTATCTTTAAGAAATTTATCACAACGGTCTCTATGAAATTTGATTTTACAAAAAAAATTCAGTTGTACTAACTTTAAGGTAATTACCTCTTAGCCGTCCTTAAGGGATGACGAAAAAGTATTGATAATCAATTGCATTGATTGATATGCGGTCCCTTTGGTATATTTGGGGCAATATTTGTATTGCAGAATATTTCCATCCTTAGGCTGTTTCACAGAATTTGTTCATGCAAAGTCGAATGACACGGTAATACATATTCACATTGGTGAGGGTAACAGAAGATTTCCGGGACTCCGAGGGATTGTTTTCCCGCGTGCTAGTTCGTCTTTGGACAGCGGTACTGTTACTAGTGAAGGCGGCAGGAGACATGGTAACGGGAAAGGTGGTAATCAAAATCCATGGGTTCATCAGTTATCTTTGGGGATAGAGAAATCTGACAGGAAAGGAGGTGAAGGTGATAAAACAAAAAATATTTATACTGGGAGATTATCAGGAAAGGTTATTACCAATGCTAGAACTGGTGCTGGAGTGACACGCGGTGGCACTAGATCGGAAAGTTTTAATCGTGTTAAAGCACGAGGTAGCGTTGCCAGTTATGTCAGGAATGGTTTTGTTGATGGCAATAGCTTCAGTGCTGGAATGAGAGGTGGTGGTGTTAAATTAGAAGGCATTAATAGCTGGGGAACGGTAAGTGGCGTCGCTCGTAATTCCAAGCCTGGTTTTCTTGGTCGCGATGTTACTAGTTCAGGTGCTGGAATGAGAGGTGGTGGTGTTAAATTAGCAGGCATTAATAGCTGGGGAAAGGCAAGTGGCGTCGCTCGTAATTCCAGGCCTGGCAGTACTAACTTAATAGGTGCTAGAATGAGAGGTGGTGGGGGGAGATTTGGTGGTAATAATGGTGAAGAAATGGTCAGTAGCACTGCTGGAACTGGTGTTGTTGGTGGTAGTACTGATGTCAGTTTCGGAATGAAAGGTAGCAGTTCTGTCAGTGGAGTTACTGGATTTGGTGCCGGTGGTGGTGGTGTTGAAACTCCAGGTGTTGGTAGAAATGTATTTCCTAAAAGTAAAAAATTTTCTCTTCAATTTGGCAACGGTCGATGCATTTATCCTGAAGATGGTCAGGTTGTTCCTGGTACCAAACTCGTGCTTCCAAACGAGTCCTGCTTTTCTGATGCCGCCAAGTTTTATATCTCTGAGAGAGGAAATCTAAAACACGCTGAAACCCATTTCTGTGTACAGCCTGAGAATGAACTGCTCGACTACAACTCGGCAATCGTTATTGACGAAGCTTGTGATAAAAGATGGACTTTCAATATGACCCCTGGTGGCTCTCTGAAGTTGGCGCTGACTGGTCAATGTATCCAGACATCAAGTGCTACCACCCAACCGTTAGTCACGGAAAGCCTCGTTTTACGGGAAAATTGCGATAAACCAAAAAGCACGTTTCAAATTGAAGGTATTATACCAAATGGTAGTTTAACAGGATTTTTACATTTACTAATAAAATATTTTTATCGATACCAAGGGCTTTTAACGTCAAGCCTTTTCAACGTCAGTCTGCATACCAATCCTGTCTTAAAATTCTGTAAATTTTAATTTTCATGGTGAATTTAAAACTTAAATCATCAACTGTAGGAACGTCTCTTGCATTTGTTATTTGCATATAATAAATACACGTTGTATTCCTACAAATTGATTATTTTCAATTTAATTAATCTTGTCTTTTTATCGGGTGTAAAGGCTGCAATAGTATAATAACAAATTGCTGCGTGTATAATTCCTGAACATGGTACATGCACCTACACTGATTCGATTTTCTTTATTCTTTCTCTGTTTAAAGAGAAAATATCGAGCCATCTTAACTTGGGACGTGGAAAGGATCAATTTTCAAGATTTGCGTTCCATTTATGATATCGTCCTTCGACCTTCGTTGTTGCACTAAACGCACACATTTTGTAACAACGTTGAAGCATGCTAGTGTGAAAAAATTTAGCGTCAGGTAATACTGTTTTTGAATCATTTGCTTCTTGTTGCTCTTACTCTATGTACAGATACAAAGCCTTTTCTCGTTGATATTGGTACTGGTTGTGCAGGGATGCATAGAAGTGGAACCGGTGTGGGCAATAGAGCATTGAGAGACAGATGTAGTCGCGGATTTCCAAATGGGGATGAGTTTTCTTTACAATTCGTAAATGGACGATGTCTTTATCCTGAAAACAATCAAGCAAGCCTTGGCGTAAAGCTAGTAGCTGGCGCTGACATTTGTCGATCCGAACTATCCAAGTATATAATTTCCAAAACGGGAAATCTGAAACATGTAAAAACTGGATTTTGTGTGCAGCCGGAAGAAGATGATGTTGATGTACCGTTGATCCTTGGGAGAGATTGCGACAAAAAGTGGGCTTTTTCTATGACAGCAAATGGTTCTCTTCAAGTTGAAGAAGGTGGTAAATGTGTTGAATCGGCTACTGGCAGCACGAGACCTTCAGATACAGAGAATTTTGTATTGCGTGGGGTTTGTGATTTAGAAGAGTCGCAGTTCACCGTTTTCACAGGTACAACTGCTACTGTTGATTTGCACTTTTAATTTTATTTTCGTAGGAGAATAGAAAGCACACCTCGCACCCTCGAGAATGGAAGAATTTCACCCTTGAGTGGCTTCAAGCATTTTCAGCGAATTCGGCTCCATTACTGTAATGTTCACTGACAGTCAGAACGATAATTGGGGGGCCCATATTCATATATTCGTGATACGCAGAATTAATTTCTTTTCAAATTAATTGTCTTTACGGCAGTCTGTTAAAATGAATATATGAATATGGCGCCCCTCAATCATCGATGCTGGCTACGCCACTGTTCACTGAGCTTCTTTGCTTCTACATTATTTTTCTAAAGATTTACATTTAGGTTACTTCAGTATGCAAAAACTACAGTATATAAAGTGAAAATTTGATTTTGCTTTCTAGATGTAGGTAGAGATGTCGATGGATTTATTAGCCGACGTGGTGTGTTGGGAGTAGGCAGGTTTGGTGAGGGTAGAAATTTTTGGGATGATGGTGATAGTACTAGTATTGGCTACAGCGGGGGGCTTGCAGCTGTACCAGAAGATGGCTTGCGTGGTAGAGATTTTGGTAGTAAAGTAAGTGAAAGTAATGATGTAGGTGGTACGGGAAATGTTGGGTGCCAGATAGGTGAAAAAGCGCTTGGAATGGAGGATGGAAGGATTCAAGATTCACAAATTACGTCTTCGAGTGCTTGGAGTGGATTAAATAGCGCGACGTCTTGGTCTGCTGGTCAAAATGACCTCAAGCAGTGGATTCAAATCGACTTCAAGAGACCAGCAGTTATCACAAAGATCGCGACGCAGGGCCGAAAGAATTCTGATCAGTGGGTAAGATCGTACATGGTATCATACAGTTTCGATGGAGAAAGATTTGAGAATTATAAAGACAGTGATGGCACAGATCAGGTAAGAACTCCTGCATGGAAATAGCTTTCAGAATATAGTTCTCATGAACATGTAACGATATCGATTCATTAAGGCATTTAAACTTTGATTCAGTAGTCAAATCTTAGTTACCTCGAAAATGCACGATTCTTATTAGCCAATGGCCCAATTTTTTTCGAAAAGGGAAACTGCATAGTTGCCCACAACTGATAATTTAGGGTTTAGTTGCCGACAGTTTGCGCGAAAGACTACGTTAATTTTTTAGTTTTCGATAACTTTTAGTTGTCGATCACAAGATCGACTAAAGACCCCTAGTTTGTGGAGGCCCTTATTAGTCTTTTTACACAACCGCTCCCAGGTCCTATAATGTTTGTTATGAATATCATTTTTAGCAAATCCAACCTTTATTTGTGCAATTTTTGTATTGTACAAAATGCGCATTAGAATGAATTATTCCCTTCATCTTTCCTCCATACAGGAATTTAATGGAAATAGTGACCGAAACTCAGTTGTGATGAGTGTGTTGTCACCACCAATAACAACGAGATTTATTCGTATATTACCAAAATCCTGGCACAGACATATATCAATGAGATTTAAATTTTATGGCTGCTAAAGCAAAGGTATATATATATATTATATTGGACACCGTCACGAAACCGTCACGACATTTATGGACGTTTATATATTTTCTCTCATTAATTTTTGCTCAAATATTTTTAACACGCTATTCTTTAACAGGTTGCTCATCGCTGGTAAAAGGATTGTTATTGAATTATGTTATTCAGAAGTAACTAAAGGAATAATTGTGAAATTTCGCAATTTTTCCATTTTCAGAAGCATATATAAATTAAATTATATGGAAGCAGAGTTTGGAACCTATGGCTATGGACGCCAGTGCAATCAAAATGTATTAGCGTTAAGTAATATACGTGCAAGAATATTATGATAGTTTAAAATCTATTCGCTTTTGTGAAGTAAAAACTTTAAGAAATTGCACCGTCGTATTTTTGTTGGTGTAAAAATTAGGAAGCGATTCCACTTTTTCTGGCGAATTTTTCCGGTCGCGTGAATAAATTCGCCTAGTGGAAAACAGGTTTTACTGAATACATATTCTGTCACATCAGCTAAACAAGTAAGTCAGGATTTAGGGTCATTTCGTATTCATCAACAATATTTGGCCCGTACGAATGGTCCCATTTATGGAAATGAAGATCGCAACTAAGCTCCCATTTGGGATAATGATCGAGTTTTTCAAAGGAACCGCTCAGACACAATACACCTGATGCATAATTATCGGCTCATGATGAAATTGCATGGGTCAGTTGATATGAAAACGTAAACCAGGACATAACGAAAGACACAGTGTAATCGAGAAATTCTGCGAGAATTGATATGTTATTGAATACTGCCGTAAACTTCAACAATGTTTTTATCAGCTCAAGTTAAAGAATCTCAAGTTTAAGTCGACGAATGATATAAAAGGTGAGTTTAAAATCAACGTTTAGCACCGACATACACAAACCATTGTGAAGCAAATGTGAAGTAATTGTAAAGTGTAATAAACATGAATTTTGGTATCTGAAGCGCCCGAACTCCGTGTAACCAAAATATTTATAAAAAGTTATAAAATGTTTATTTAGTTTAAGTATGTAAAAAATGTATATGCAGGGATTGATCGCCTCCTGCAGAGCTGAACACCGAATCTAGTTTTGGTAAGCTAAATGGTCATCCTGCATGAATTGCACCGATATTTAACTGTTAGGGCCTTCAACGAGACGTGAAATGATTTTGAGGTATTAAAAGAAGTCTTTATGAAACAAAATAAGCACATGCTATCGTTAAGATGACTATACACCACCGTCAGTATCATGTTATTTACTCATTTCAATACCTCAAAGTCATTTCACGCCTTGCTTGATCTCGACTAAGCGGGATCATGTAAACAGGTTAATTTGTGTTGTGTACTGAATCGGGCGTAAAGAGATAATAAACACATTTCGAGTGAGGGATAATGATTGTGAAATATTGCTTAAACTTTTCCGCTTGCAGAAATTTGTATCAAAACCGTTCTATTGGCAATCTTCCCATACAAGCCAAAACATGATATTTGATTATATGTCTCTAAGTAGTTTCCACTTAAATATGCTTTCGCAATTATAATTACCCACGAACATCTTAAGGTTATTGACTGCATGTGTGTATCAGTGTATAGATTGCCAGAGTGCGTTGGCTTACATGTCTAACTAATCCAATAATCAAAATTTTTGCTTGGTTATATAATTTTAAGACTAATATGATATTGACAATACTCTGAGGAAAGCTCATGCCGAGTAGGAATCTTACTGTGGGATGTGATGAGAAAATATCAATGATTAGAACTTGCCTGACATTGTTTACTTAGAGTTTTTCTGTAGCCATGCATTTAGATTTCGGCGTTGCTTGCCTAAGGATGGTTTTACACATGCAAGGCTCAATTTTTTGATCTAACGAAAACTGTGACAAGACAAGGGAATCCGCTAGGGTCGAATTCTTGCAATTAAGAAAAAAATCAGGCGAAAAATTTAGCGTAGTGCCAGTGGAAAACCGCGTTAAAATAATCATCTAGGGCCAGTTGTATAAAACGATCTAACAACACGTTGCATAGTTAACTCAGAAATACGCGATTCTGATTTTCCACTTCTGCCCTTAACTACAGATAAAGGTTAACTAGTCTTTAATACAACTGGGCCCTGGTCTGACAGGCCTGGGTTAGGTATTCTTTTCAATGTCATGCCAAAGTCTTGTTTTATAATCGTAATTCTTCGTATAAGTCGTTCGTCTGTTGTTAAGGCGGTTTTCCATCTTTCTAAATTTTTCAAATATAACGAATTTTATCGCTTAATTTCTCGCCTAGTAACGCATAATATAGAATGGCTCCACTGTGTAAAAAATTATCTTCTTCAATGAATAATGCTGTCGTATAGCACAGCGTTATGTGACAAACTGCAGTAAAAAATCAGGCTTTACTTGAACAATGGATTCCTTTGTCTTTGATGAACGTTAATTGTAATGCAAAAAAATCCTTTGACCCAATAACTTATGAACTCAGGTTTCAGACAAAGAGGAATGACGAAAATGGGATTTCTCGTTGAAAAAAATTGAAATTACGAGTAGACAAATTGAAGCTATATCGCTGCATGGGCTTTTTGGCAGTGTAGTGCTAACGATTATTGTTTTAAATACCATGATCTTTGATTATTGTTAATACCATCATCTTTGAAATTAGGAATTTAAATTACTATTTCACAGCTATATTTGTGTGTATTGGCATTGTAAAGTAGTGTTCAAAAGCAGTATCCTTGCTAATTAGCCAAGGATATATTCGTTGCAGCGTTTTTCAACATGATCCTGATTTATATCGAAGTATTATCATGTCTACGCATACAAAAATGATCAGCATGAATAATATATTGCACTAGAAGTGTCGCATGGCTATATCTTAATATTTATTTTTGATATTGTTTTATTTATTTCAAGCCTTTTTCCACTGGAATTCATAACTGTGCTTTATTAGGGTATTAAATAACGTGTTACAAGTCTATAATGAAATAACTGTACCCAACCCAATTGATCAGTTATTCTCAAGGCCCGTCTACTTCTTTTGATAGATGTGAACGAGTGAATTAGTTACTGAAGTTCAAATATGAGTTCTTATACATCAGAACATTCGTAACTAATTACTCGTTCACATCTATCAAAAGAAGAAAATCGCAAATAAAATCGCACCAAAAAAGTGTAAACGGGCTTTTACAATAAAGAGCCGTTAGAGAGATGTTTTTCGGTAATTTTTAAGTGACAAATGTTTCGCCACTAATTTTCTCAGTTTTTACACGTTTTATGATACATCAGGAATTGTTTTGATTATAATTTCCTTTCAGAAGAGGCAAAGACGGCCAAATTATGAATAACGAAGATAAACCGACGAGAAGATTAAGTCGTTACAACACTCGACGCTCTTCAATTGGCAATGTCCATAAGCCTTATGAACACTTGTTGCTTAAAGAGTTGCCAGGTAACGTTAGAAGCTAGTTAGCTAAGTGGAATTGTAGTAGAAGTCTAGATTTCGCTTTTGTATTAGCCAAACGGTTTGGTAGCTAACCGTAACTAGTGATCTTTATAACCATGCAACATATGATTATGCATCAAGGTGCTCCAAGAATTTACGCTTCAAACGAGGCTTGTTTGTGTCTCCGTGAATTGTCTTTCCGAGGTACCTAAATCCCGGACAGACCTAACTTTAAAGTATATTTAGTTTTTGTCTCATACGATTTCAAAAAGCAGTGTCGAGAAGATTTCTTGAATTTATAGTGTATAAAATATTGTCCAGAAAACGATCATTTTTGCATGTCACAAACATACGACGCAAACAAACAAACAAACAAGCTTAGACTCGAATTTTGATCTAAAAAGGTGTATCATTTATTATGAATAGTGGTAGGTAGGTTGTTTGTTAGAATAACATTGATCAACCGTAAAGACCAATTACGATAGTGACTGAAGTAGTGTTAAGAAACGGATGAAATTATAAGTTGAGGCAATACGGGCAATACACAGCAATAAGTTGAGGAGTGCTCTCTTTCACTCTTATCGAACTGGAGATTGTATAAATCTAATAGCGTTATCTCGCTTTGATAGTCCAAATTCCTCAAAGGTAGTGGTGTTTTCTCAAAGGTAGATGTGTTTTCTCAAAGGTAGTGGTGTTTTCTCAAAGGTAGTGGTGTTTCCTCTCAAAGATGGTGCTTTTTTCTTAAAGGTAGTGGTGTTTTCTCAAAGGTAGTGATGTTTCCTCAAAGGTAGTGGTGTTTTCTCAAAGATAGTGGTGTTTTCTCAAAGGTAGTGATGTTTCCTCAAAGGTAGTGATGTTTCCTCAAAGGTAGTGGTGTTTTTTCAAAGGCAGTGGTATTTCCTCAAAGGCAGTGATGTTTTCTCAAAGGTAGTGATGTTTCCTCAAAGGTAGTAATGTTTTCTCAAAGGTAGTGGTGTTTTCTCAAAGGTAGTGGTGTTTTCTCAAAGGTAGTGGTGTTTCCTCAAAGGAAGTGGTGTCTGCTCTCAAAGATAGCGGTGTTTCCTCAAAGGAAGTGGGATTTAAATCTGAAGCTCGCTATTTACTCTAGCTCCTTCCTTACTAGGGGCGAAAAGGTCTAATGCTGCTATGCACGCAGTTCTGGAAAGTGCGCTAGAAGATAACATGAACGACAGTATACATGAAGCACAGAAAGTTCGTAACCACGCTCTTATCCACTATCTTGCATCATTGGCAAACTCTAATAATAATGACGATATCTTCGATTTTGATTTCGTGCAATCATTGATTGAAAATGGTGCAGATGTAAATAGCACCGATAAAAGTGGACAAAGTATTTTCCATGAAGTGGCACGTTCTTGGAATTTGGATGTGGCTTTGTTTCTGCTGGAACACGGTAAGCACAATTTAAAATTTCGATTTAGGCTACGATTGATTGAGAATTTGCACGTTGGTCCAATTTATACCATAATTTTCCCAACTTGTGCAGGCTCTTATTGCCTGCCAGTATTATTTGTAAAATTAGAATCAGATTTTAACAAATCTAATCGTACGATTCTCCGCCTTTGGGCTGCTAAAAGGTTGATAGTGCTGCATGTTTACGTAGGGTAACAAATCCTTCATATTTCTCCATAAATGTCGACATGCTTGAGAGTTTCGTACCTAAAGATTTTTTCAGTGTCAGAAGAATAGTTTTCATATTTTACGAACTTTTCCAGGTGCTGACTTGAACCAGCAAGATAAATTTGGACGCTCGCCGCTTCACGTAGCGGCTGCAGTAGATTATTCAGACATGGTTCGTTTCTTAGTGAAACATGGTGCTAACATCAATATAACCACTTACGGCGAAGAACAAATGCCGATACACTTTGCTGCTAAGAATGATGCGTGCAAATCTCTCAAGATGTTGCTAGGATACGGAGCAAATATTGATTCACGCGACAGTAAGAACAGAACTCCGCTACAGGTAAGTACTCGTTGTTTTTACCCATTCTTTGGTTTTAGTAAAGAGTTACCGACCTCTCTGGCAGCGATGCGTCAGAGATGCGTATCATATTTTTTACATTTTTTTGCATTTCTTTTTAATTCGTGGGATTTTAGCGCTTTAAAATTATCACTAATGTATGTTAACAGTTAGCAGTTAGCAGTTTACGATTAACCCATTCTAATGAACGTCCATTTATTCCCAGGTCGCTGCAGAAATGAACCGTGCAAAGTCAGCAAAATTACTAGTCCAACATGGCGCCCCAGCAGGTGTTCATGACAACATGGGTAATTCTGCTTTATCACTCCTGATTGAAAAACTGCCAGATGTGGCCATTGAGGCTCTCGATCAATTTCATTCTGTCAGTTCAATCAACCGCAAAGAATTTTTCTTCTTGAACTATTTGGGTAAGCTAATATTAATGATGCCATTATATTCGTATCATTTATAACGCCTTAAGGTGCTTAAAAAGGTTACGTGCGGCATTGATCACTGCACAGCAGTACTCCATAACCTTTTTTCCTGGCAATAAGTAACCTCCCTATAACATAATTTACCAGCGGTGAATGTTATAGAGGTATTTGTATAATCTTCATATTTTAGTACCAAAAATATTTGCTTAAAGGTAAAATAACTGTACCGCTCCAACTTGTTATTTTAGCCATTAAGATACCCTAGCTGCCACGTGGGTATTCGTCAGGACGTTTTTAGTTCAATGAATTTTTATTGATATTTGCTTATCGTATCTGTGAAAATTAAAGCTCTAATTGATTTCTGTCATCATTCACATAAATTGACAATGTGGTAACTAAAGTACCTCCAATGCAAAACGTCAATACCTAATAAAACTCATATTATATACGAGGATTTAACTTGGCAAAGGTACGTATTCCGATGAAACAAGACAACGCAAAATAGAAATGCAAAAATGTATTATTGGAAATGAGTGATCCAGTTCTTTGACTTGTGATCATATCTTATCATTCAGGGCTCGCTATTTTTCCTTATTCAACCTACATTCTATACCTTATATTAACAAAACAAAATGAGTTTGAAATTGCAGAGCATATCCAACTAAAAACATATTTAATTTTTTTAGAAGGAAATCGCTTGCAAGACCCGAAATCCCCAGCTTATTCAGCTCTAGAGATTGCTGTTCAGAACCAGGAATTTGATATCATACTTCATCCAGTCATGAAACGACTCATTGATGTTAAGTGGCAGCAATTTGGCCGCAACGGGGCCGTGAGTAATCTGGGACTGAACTTACTTTATGCCATACTGTGGACGATACTTGGTGTGACGTCAACGACGAACGGAGATGAACTGTACCTCCCGTGGTCGCGCAAGGCATGGAGACTTGTTCTCTCTGGAGTTGTATGTCTTATGACAATAGACGAAGTACGCAGGCAAATAACAGGTAATGTGCAATACAGGATGAATCAAAGTGAGGAGACAATTGTTTTAATGATTGTTAAGTCATAATTTTTTCATTTTTTTGAACGTAATCATTTTTGTGTATTTTTTCTTTGCATATCTACAATCTTGGACATAACCTGTCGAGATTAAGCCAATTAATCAAATATCAATATATATCTTCTGATTTACCCTCATCCATGTATCCCCTCCTTCTGTTTAACGTTATTGCCAATTAGATATCCACAGTCTCGTTCAAATCTCACGTCGAAACAACATTGATTTGGGGGGGGGGAGGAGAAGCATAATACATGCAATTAAGTGTGGTACTTGAAATTGATATTAATTTCTGTCAACGGTTTTTGTCCATTTAATCTTAATATAACAAGATACATCAACGAGTTTTTAACGTGATTTTGTGTCTATCAGTACATTTCGCTTCAATCAACTCGATCTTTGGATTGTTTTAAAGTTATTTTTCCCATTTTAGGAACACTAAAAACCAGGAACCGTCAGAAGAAATGGATCTCCTGGAGAGCTTCTGAACTTGAAGAAGATTTGTCATTTTGTCATCCTCGTTGGCCGCAGGAGGAACTTTACCTGAAATCTGAAATAAAAGCTATTCGAGACACCCCATTGATCTCTTCCGGTGATTCCTGGATATATTTTGATTGGTTTTCCTTGATCCTAATTCTCGGAACTATTGCCAGTCACTTGGTCTTCGTGAACATCGACAGTTCTTTATCGCAAGTAGTTCATGCACGTATCATTACCGTGCTCTTGCTTGTTTTATGGCTGCGAATAATGCAATATGCAAGACCGTTTGAAGGTGCTGGGCCATTTGTTGCGATCTTCGGCCATATTATTAATGACATAGTGAACTGGGGCATTTTGACGTTGCTTATTACAATTCCTTACGCATGCGCATTTTGGATTACCTTCGGAGATGTGTCGCGAAATCCAGTTGAAAGTTACAGCGACGTATCGTCACTCCTCTATGAGCTGTTTTCAATGATTGTGGTAAATGATCATGATTTTGAGGCACTACAAGCCGCTGATGCTATGATGGCTCGATTACTTTGTGGTAGCTATATAGCTTTAATGGCGATTATCAATTTGAACATCCTCATTGCGCTATTATCAGATACGTTCACACGCGTCTATGGAAACGCCGTTGCTAATGCGGTAATGCAACGAGCGAAAACTATTCTTTTCCTAGAGAAATCGTTGTCAAGAAAACGAAAACGCAGCTATGAAGAATTCATTAAGAATTTTGGAAGTCCAGAATCGGTTGATCTTGCGCGAGATATTTCAGCAAATACCGACCGAGATGAACAGAAAGCAGCGTATATGCTGAGGGAGAGCGTGCAAGAAATTCATAATTTAATCCATGAAAGATTCGGAAAGCAGTATGGAGAAGGGAAGAAATGGCTGGAAATTAGATCACATAAAAGAGAGTCTGGAGAAAGTCCACGAAGGCAGTGTTCCAGGAAAGTGTGGCTGTAAAGGGGTAAAGCGAAAGGTTGACATAATACAAGAAACATTGATCAAACTTTGCAATTCTTTGAAAGTCGATGTTTCTGCATTAGAAAATAACCCGCAGTCCTCCGCTTCAGATGATGATGATACATTGGTCGGACAGATTGAAGCAGCCGTAAGTAATAGCGGAAATAGTCGAAGTGAATGGAAAGGCAAAGTCGAAGACTGGGATGACGGTAATGAGCAAGGTCGTAATTCGCGACAGCCATTTTGGTCAGTCAATAAAGCTGCGCTTGATGAGGAATATCAAATGGAAATGGGAGAACCAGTCATGAGTCGAAAATTCCGACGGACATCGTCGATTAACAGAGGTCGTGAAAATATTGATTCCGATCAGACGGGATACAAGAAAGGTCGTGATTTCGGGCAATCAACCAGGAACGAAGGGTTTACCGACGTAGTTCCGCGTGATCCTGTCGTATTACTTTCATACAGGCAATCACGTGATGAAAATGGTAGCTATAGACCAAGAGTTGATCGCAGAGAATATGGAACCAATGTGTACCAAGACAGTTTTCGAGAAGAAGAGATTCCAGCTTTTCGTAAAACGCGAAGAGAGTCGGATTTTTCACGAGAAGTTCTACGTGAGAGAATGCAAATGCGTTCAGGAGAAGAATTACGTCGTTCGGAATCATTGCCCCACAGGGCTTCTAAAAACATCCCAGAGAACACATATCCCAGACGAGTATATTACTCTGCTACTAGAGCGAAAAAAAGTCATCCAAGGAACTTAAAGACAAATTCCCTGAGAGGACCAGAAAGAAGAGAATCAGAAAGAAGAGATGACAGGCAACCGTACAACGTTAGGGAGAGTCGAGCACCTGAGAGGTTTGTTATTGGTTTTTTGTTGCAATCATTTCACACCTTAGGCAAAAATGGCTCCTACATTTAAATAGTTGTATATCGGTCACATATAACTGATAATATAAATATTAAATCCAATGCGCAATGCACAGTACGCACAAACACAACAATCATTAGAAGTTATGGCCGGTTATTTTTTCTTTGAAAATTATGATAAATTGTTTATAAGAAAAACGTTTAGAAATTTGAGAATCTCTTTCTTATGATATAATATGTTCCTATAGATATAGGAAGTTTTAGTCAAAACTTTACTATACATTGGCTTCGGCAGTCAAATGAATGATATGCTTAAGCAATTAAACGCAACGATCGTGTTCTATGTCATATCTCTTTCTTGAAAGTAAATAGTTCATTGCGACTATATCATTAAAAGTTTTTAACTACTCTAATCTAATATACTCCAGAGAAAAATTTCAATTTTCAATTTTCCCAATATTAGCATCGTGATCAATGAGGGATTTGTCTTTTAAACAGGCGATCTCAGTTTCCTGACCGAAGTGACTCAGATGTAGTTAAACCTCGTCAACAATCTTCTGATAAAACCAATACATACCCCAGGACGCGATCACGAGATAGTCCAGAGAAGTATTTCGCGGATCGATCGCAACGCCAAATGGTTGAGCCAACATCCCAATCAGACACAGAATCTGATGATTCTGATATGTCACAAAAAGCATCTTTCCGAGACAATCAGAATGCTGCTTACAGTGATAACGATCTGATTGCGAAAAGAGCAAAAAGATTCCGAGAAAAGCGTTTTCTCGATGACTGGGACACCAGAAGTGTTAAAAGTGTCGCCTTTTAGGTTTTGTTAAACGTCAACCGTTATCACAATCCTGAATCCACATTATGTTCTCACTTGCCTTTTGTATATGGCCCGATCTCAAAACCATGTTAGCTAGTCGCCTAGTCCAGTAGTGCACCGTATTTTATTGCTAGATGTAAAAATAAAAACACATTAAGATAAAAAAGTTCATTATTACGTAGCTAAACGCTACTTTTAGAGAGATGTTAGCATGTTAGTACATGTAGTATGACTAGGTCTTGATAACTATTTTATAAAATTTATCCGTATAGTTGAATTACGCATTTTGAAGAGGAAAATAAGTTCACACATGCAGCCGTAGCGTTTATTCCATTATTGAAAATTCTTTCTATAACCTCTTTCGATTTCTTCAGTGAATTTAATTTCATCATAATTATAAGAAAATTATTATAGAGAGGAATTGGATTAACCGCACTTTTTTCATCTATGACTTCGATCACGCTGCCGTATCCGAGAACAAAGACAAAGTAATAAAAGAATGTACAACTCCTCTCTATGCTAAATTGCATAGGCTCTCTTCGAGGCCCTCTTTGATCGTACTTAACCGCTGACGCCCAATCCAATCTTATCTTCTACCGTGTGCCTGCGACGTTTCGTGATCGTATGACATTGTTACATCAGCGAGTTTAAGATGCACCAAATCTACGCGTAAGTAGAAAACAGCCTTTAGTTTGAAAATTAAAGCAGTATGATACTTCACGTCCCAGCTGTAGATTTGGTGCATCTTAAACCCACTATCGTCTTCTTACGGATTTCGTGATTTGCGGTTAGAAAAAGGTAGGGTCAGAAACAGGGTTCAAAGAGAAAATAATTTCGTGCGTGTAACCTGACAACAGTAACCGTAGCATGAACGTAACACCCACATTAGCTCATGCACAGACAATTAAGGGGAAAACGGGGATAAATACTACCGCAAATTTTGGAATGGACCGGGAGTTGCCGATTCATTTCTTTGAAATTTTAATTTGAGTATTTTAATTTGTCCGTGCGGCTGTATTTGGTAGGTCAAGTAATGAGATCAATACAATGTGGATGCAATGTAGTAAACTATATATTAACCCCAACAGTTTCAAACTTCGTCGCTACATTCTAATTGGAACTGAAATATTTGCTTTCTGACCTGTATAATTATACTCGGTGGTAATATTATGAAAAAAGAATGCAAAATTTCAAATTCACTTTTAACAAAAATATACTGAGCTGTTAGGAAAGATTTTACGAAAAATTTCAACACGCATCAGCTGAAAAAGTCGTTTTCGTTGCTCTTTCATATTGGAATTAGTGAGTTAATACACACTATAGGAAAAAGTTCTACATTCTACCAAAACGCTACCTTAATTTGTCCTCAGCGGTCAGTAACTGCAGTTAAGGACAGAATTGGCCAATCAGAGTCCTGTGTTTCTGAGTTAACTACGACAACAAAATGTAGTTAAAGAGTTTTATACCTACAACGGGCCTCAAATACCCAAATGTGTCTTCGTGTGCAGTCTTGTTTACCAATATCTACAGGGTGTCCCAAAAAAAACGAAAACTATTGAAATCACTCATTGTTAAAATTTGAATGCTGTGTTCACGAATTACAGCCCGTGGGGATTTAATGCAACTTATAAAATGCTAAATGCTTTGTGTTGCTAGAGAAAGGGGACATGTCGAAGGTCATGGTCCTTGAGATGCACATTTAAATAATGTTATCCATATTTGTAAATTGTAAATATTGTTGATAAATATCATTTTGCGAACAAGCAAATTTTACTGCGTCATATATGCATGCATAAAAATGACTACATGGCAAACATTTATACACCTATGGTTCCCAACAGAGTGCTTAGGCATTCAAACTCTAACAATTGCATTGTTATGGGTGATTTCAATAGTTTTCGTTTTTTTTGGGACACCCTGTATAACCTATCAGAATATTCCGCTAGGGACAAATGCTGGCAAGGAGAGAATGTCAAATTGTTGACCGCTAATCTATTGGGTCAAAACGAAATTAAATTCAATTTCCTGGTTATTTCCCTTTTAGTTTTGTAAGGAAATTAATGTTTCCATATATGCAGGACCCTTAAAAACAAATATAATTTAGTTAGAGGTTACCCCTCAGCTATCTTGAAGAATTTTAATTAAACTCTGTTTGGAAGAACATTGAATTGAAAGCGAGAATGTGTAATACAACAAGATGCCTTGCAAGTCTATCCCTGTTGGTTTACAACATGCTGTACTTTTTTCAAGTCTCTGTTCTGGTATACTATATGGCGGAACACGTGCATAGTCTGATGGCTTTAACTATCATCGTGTTCATGGCCTCTCCTGCCTATCTTCTCGCTAATCGTTGTTTCTGTACTTCTGAAGCACGAAAAAATGCCATCAGATGGATGTGGGTTCCATGGTTCCTTTACAACTTGGCACTTGTGGCGTCAGTCGCACTCATTTTCACAAAAGTGATAGATAAGGTCGACAATACGGATTTCTGGGGTCCAAATACATTAAAAACATTACTGTGTATAACTCCCGTGCTGCTGATGTTATTGTTGAACGGTATAATACCAGCTGGGAATCAGAAATTGGTTCAAAGAATAACAGCTAACATCGTTTTAGACCTTTTCGATGCCATCGAAATGCTAGAAATAATTTTACTGCAAAAATGTGGGGCGTTTCATTTACCAAAGTTACTAGAACGATGCATTCTTGCATTTGTATCTCTGGCGATTTTGCTTTCTTCTCTGGCGTTGTTTCAACATAAAGTAAAGCCGCTCACAGATGAAATTGCTATCAGACGAAAGACGGTGATATTTCGTACATCACTCCAGGTGTTTCTCGTGAATTTGGCGTTTCTGATCATTAGATCATTGGTGTGGATCAACTATGGTTACGATGCCTCGATATTTATTACCAAGAATGTGCTGGCAATTTTGATATGTTTGAGTGAAATTTTTGCAAAATTCGAGTGGTGTGGATGTGGAAACAGATCCTATGAAACATTCACGGTGTAAATTACATTATAAATATAAATGAAGGTTTTGTGAAGAGGATTAAACCACAATCCAACAATCCATATAGTTAGTTTAAGTTGTTGCTTAGATTTAGTTGCTTATTAATCATCATACCTGCAAATAATTATTTTAGTGTGTGAACCAGGGCCCGCCTGGCGAATTAACTGAATAATTTCCTGTTTGTTTGAATGTCTAGTCTAATGTGTATCTTCCTGTTTGTTTGAATGTCTAGTCTAATGTGTACCTAAAAATACTAGAATATTATTCATAAAAGATATTGTACTAGGCAGGAGCGGATCTATACTAATGCGAATAAAAACTAGCTTTCCACTTAATCTCCCTGTAAAGATACCAATGCATAATATACTCAAGCGGTTAACTAATTTATGAAAAGGAATATATTCCTGTAATAAGTGAATAATATTAAACAGACTGACACGATAAAAAGAAGTGAAGGTCGAAATATACCGGAAAGTGGTATATTTGATCTTGGTAAGGGCGAATTTGGTCGAATATACTGGAATACGCTGTATTCGATATTGGTAAGGTCGGTTATGGCATGGTGTATTCGACCTTGGTAAAGTAGGTTATGGTATAGTATATTCGACCTTGGTATGAAGGTCGAATATACAAGAATATGGTATCTTCGATCTTGCTAAGTCGAATATTCCGGAATATGGTATATACGACTCGCCACATTACACCACCACCCGCTACATTATACCATCACCCGCCATATTATACCACCACCCGCCATATTATACCACGACCCACCACATTACACCACCAGCAGCCACATTATACCACCACCCGCCATATTACATCACCACCAGCCACATTGTACCACCACCCGCCACATTACACCACCACTCGCCACGTAACACCACCACCTGCCACATTACACCACCACCCACCACATTACACCACCACCCGCCACGTAACACCACCACCTGCTACATTACACCACCACCCGCCACATTACACCACCACCCGCCACATTACACCACCACCCGCCACGTAACACCACCACCTGCCACATTACACCACCACCCACCACATTACACCACCACCCGCCACGTAACACCACCACCTGCTACATTACACCACCACCCGCCACATTACACCACCACCCGCCACATTACACCACCACCCGCCACGTAACACCACCACCCGTCACATTACACCACCACCCGCCACGTAACACCACCACCCGCCACGTAACACCACCACCTGCCACATTACACCACCACCTGCCACATTACACCACCACCCGCCACATTACAGTACAACCCGCAACATTACACAACGGCCCGCCACATTACACCACAACTATATTACCTTTTGGTACATTCCAAAATTGCTTTACTTTTACAAATGCTCCACAGGTGGAAGAACTGGGAGAAAATAAGCTCCCTCTCCCGAATACGTAAAAATTTTTTTGTAAAACAAAATGCCGACTGTTGGTAGGTTTTCTGCACGTCATACCAGCTTTATAGATGGTCATGAAATGCGGTTTTACGATATCACTAGACGTTCTTACAACTTTTCATTTGGTAGATCACGTTATACAAATATGCTATCATAATTTGAGCTGGGGTAAAACTTGCTTTGACATGGATAATTTTCGTGTCTTGACCATGCATGCGAATCCGGTAAAGCATAAACGGGCCCATGGGTGTACGGACTGTATCGTTGAATATTTTTTTTATTTTTATGATCGCTCAGAAGCTGTAGAAAAGTTGAAATGCAAAATTCCAGCAATTTTTATTACTAATTCAATTTTCTACTCTCTGAATTATCAATTGTGAAAGTGATTATATATTAAACATTCCAATTGATTGCACATCTATAACGAAGCGCAGGGTAAAGTTTTTTATACTATTTACAGGATATACATGCATATTATATAAGCTAACGATATTAGGAAATGCTAGTAAAACTAGCTCTACAACGTAAAATAAGGAGTTTTGGTGAATGAAATGAGATAAATTATCGCACTATTATGCCATGTCAAAAGTACAAGATCGATCTAACGATGAAAATTGCATAATTCGAAATGGCTTTGAACACAGTCGAGGGCTAATTAAGTTTTGACCACATAAAAGCGTGCACATGGCAGTCTTTCAACATTACGCAAAAATTCTGCCGCTAATGCTAATTTTTTCTACAAATGCGTTATGACTTAGGATTATCTCAAAATTCTAACTGTGAATATGGAACATTTGTGACGATAACTAGGTCATGCATATAGTAACCACGAGACCAATAAAATTGATCTCAAAATTACAAGATGGCCGACACGTTCGAGTGTTTAAATTCAAGTTTGTTCATGCGACTATACGACTGTACGAGGTTTTATCTCAAAAACCACAATTTTTCATTTGGCTACATTCTACAATGATTAAAAAAAGTTTATATTATAATAAAATATTTCGTTTTTTTGCATCTTTCTACAACGTTTTCATCGTTCAATATATTACACTGTACACTTTTCATAAATAATTTATTTAGGGCAAAGATTGTTTTGGGAATATCATAATCGACGATGTTTGTTTCCGATGCGTCGCTTGTGGAGGTCTGGTGATTCTATGAACATATCACGGTTGCACCAAACGGTTTTCAATCTTTTGTTTCTTTACCCTTTCATTTTATATGTTTCATTTGTTATAGTTCTTTTCTTTTTACACATGTGTAGACTACTACAGCCATTGCTTTCATATGCAGTTTATGCTCCTTAGCGCCAAAAGGAACTCAATTGTTTATATGTTCGGGAAGATTGTTTTGGATTGCATTAATTCGTATACTGGAAATTCTGTTTTCATTCAATAGTATGTACACTGGAGGATGAACGATGCCTCAAGATATTTTCTTCAACGAGAACGATTTGAGAACATATGAAGTTGTTTTTCAATTCTTTATCCGGGCTATTTTCAAGCACTAAATACGAACATTCAGTTCACCCCGATTTTATAAAAGAGATCTTCATACCAGCGCGAAATTTACGAGGCGGAATCTTTACAGGAAGGCGTCTTTTCTTCTTTCCATCTAAACAGACGTTTCCCTTTCTGTTAATAATTGCTCGTTACAATCATGGGCGAGCGCATTCGTGTCCGAACTATTCTTGTTGGAGTTTGACGAGTCCGATGTTCTACCGTTGGTTGTTATAGAATTAGTGAAACCTTTCGGAAACACCGGTAGTGAAAACCTGCGAATTCGCAGGTACATGTTCGCATTCTCGGAAACAGCACCGCTGTACGAACTACGACGACTGAACGACAATCGATGCTTCGTTATTTTCAGAAAGGGGTACTTCTCTTCCACTCTCTTACATATCGCTAAGAGATCTTTCTTGAAATGGGAAGTAAATATCGCGTAAAGGAATGGATTGGCACAACTGTTAAGTGGAAACACGAAGACAGTGAAGATTTTTGCCTGGTTGAGGTTTATAATAGTTGATCCAAAGGTAGCAGATAGAGAGAAAAACACTATTGGAGCCCAACACGCAAAGTCAGTGAATACCAATAATGCCATACGCTTTGCTACGCGAAGGTCACTCGCGTTCCACGCGTTGGATCCACGAATTGAACAATACATTAGGATGTAACAGAAAAGAATTATGACAAAAGCAGCAGCATTAAGGCAAAGGAGGAACACCACGTACACGATGGATTTAAGATCACCAATTTCGAACGGTAAACAAATACTAAATCTTCCATAACTGTTGATTTCAAGTAAGGGAAGCGTTGCAGTGACAAGGGCGAAGGTCCAGCCAACAAGCATAACTATTATGGCAGTTTTCAACTGTAATCTCCGATTTACACGAATGGCATTCTTGATTGCAATGTATCTTTCCAGTGTTATTACAGTTAGTGTAAATACTGAAAGTTCACTTGAAAGTGTAGCGAGGAAGCCAGCAGTTCGACATCCTGCGCTCAATTGCCATTCGACGCCATAGCTTCGAAAGTTTCCCAATGTTGAAATGTCCACAACAGCCAGGAAACCCAAGTAAATTCCCATAAAAAGATCGGCGAAAGCAAGATTACTGATTAAGAACCGCGAGACATCTATCTTGGTATGGCTAGCAAGAATGACAATAATCACCGTCGCATTTCCACACAGCGCCAGCACAAACACGATCCATACTCCGCATCGTAGTACCCAGTCCCCCATGAGATCATCACACGGAACAAACGGGCCAGGCTCAGGAGTGCATTCAACATTATATGTTAAATCATCATCAGGCTCTGAGTCCCCTTCCTCTCCGCCACTGGCAGAAAAATCTTGAAAGGGGTCTTGTGTGTTGTTCTGTGATACCCAAGTCCAGGTGAATTTCAAATTTTCTTCATGAGGCTGAGATAGAAAAAAAACATAATCAACTAAACATCTTTAACTACGAACATATATCTTCACAAAGGCTATGTGCACACAGTAACGTTTTTGAGCGTTTTTACATTTTTTTCATGCCGAAACAATTCTAAACACCATCAATTTACAATAGAAGTTGAAGCTAAATTAATATATTTCGCATGTTTTTCCTTGAATCGCGTGGCCTAAGCAATAAGATAGACAAAAACGATTTTAAAAACGCTCGAAAACGACGCTCGTGTGCACATGCCTAAGATTTCAAAACACAATTATGAATGAAAATGGTGTTGCATTTGAAAGAATAGAAACATGTTTTTAGGTAATGAAAATCATCCCAATAGCAATAGATTACATTGCCCCCGCCTCGTTTCCAAGATATTGTTTTGTTTGCACTCAAACAAATTGAAAGTATCTATATCAGCAGTAAAGGAAGCCTAATCTCGTAGTTGTAGTAAATCCTCCAAATTCTTACACTACAAATTTTATACAATCTATGCAATACGTACCCAAGTAAGGTTAGTCAGCAACGGTGATTCTTTTCTTTCATTGAGGAATGCACAACAGTGATACGGGTAATAAAGATGCAATGTTTTGATATTTGGAAAATTCCTCCGGGACGGAAATTTTGTGAGTATAGAGTTTCCTTTAATTGAAAGTCGCTCAACATTCCCCATACCCAGAGATGGTAGTTCAGGAAACTCGTTATTTGACAGGTATCTAAATTAAACAATCCAAATCAATCTAGGTTTGTGCGCTGCTCGGTATCCGAGGCATGCGCTTACATGAAGTATAATGATAAGGTCGTGATCGTGAAAATAATAAAGAAAAAAGCGGTGCTACTTTCAAGATTTAAAATAAAACAACTTTTGGACACTTACAATATTTTAAGTCTCTGCAGGTCGGAAAATGCATTCTTGTCAATCTTTGATATTTCGTTATCTTGGAGGAACCTATATAGAAAACAGGATATAAATGAAAAATACGCGCATGCGAATAAATCTGCATGGAATCATAAATTGCTCCCACAATCGTTTCTTTACTTACAGGCTCTCCAGTTGAGTAAGTCCTTTGAAAGTGTTTTCCCCAATTGACTCAATCTTATTGTACTTTGCTTCTCTATGATAAAACAAAATTTGTATGAAAAAAACACGCGCCTACTGTTTGATTGCTTTGATTAAACCCAGAGAACCAGTACAGTCATTCAGACATACAGAACTGAAGAGCGTTTTCCCCGAATAACCAGGGCATTTTTTTTAATACTACTAGGACTAAACGTTCTCAGGGCTTGTACATTTATTTTGACCCAGATTTATTCTTTACAATGCCAATATTCCTGCATCGATCCTTCCCAGCTACTCTCTTCTGAACTTTCTAACTAATTTTAATTACAAATATAGTCGAATTTTGTAACATAAAATTCCAAATTCTGTTGAGGAAAATTCAAAAAAAAATTTCTTAAGTTTGATAGTTTTTCCCAAACAGCTCTGCTGCCATACGTTTGATCATACATAACACTAACATTCATATGTTACACTTACATATCCAAAAGTGACTCCAAGCCCTGCAGTGAATCACCGAAGGATTTAAGCTGATTGCTGCTTAGTTTTCTATAAAAGGGATGTTTTATTAATCATTGAAACATAAATAATACATACGTTGCCTCTAAGTTAAAATGATACTTCAAATGGTCAAAGGATAAATGGGTTAAAGGTTTTTTTCATATGGCAGATCGAGAGCGCGCACTGATTGGGTCCAAATCGGTGTAATAAAAAAGAAATAATCGGATATCAGCTCATTCAATAGGAATATTAGACCAGGAAAATTAAATTGAATTAAATTTTCAGTATTTTCCGTGTACCCTTGACTCAGAAAGCATCTTAAAACAGGATGAAATGGCCAGTTCTAACTTTTTCTTAGGATGCGACCTGTGCCCTAACACTTTCATTGCTCAAAAGAGATTTCTTGAAGTGAGACGCATTGTGAAGATTTTCACACGAAATCTATATACCGAGTACCATATAACCGTTCTTTGGACAGCTTTTCAAAATTAAAAAAACACAGCTGAAGGCCAAGTAAGTGTCGAACAAGTATAATCCAACAGGGAGAGTTTAAAACAAATCCCTTTGTAAATGAAAAAAGTAAATATTTTGAAAAAAAAGTTGAACTTACAGAATTAGCAGTTTCTTACAGCGCGATAGGCTTGGTAAAACTGTTAATTTATTCGAGGTAAGATCCCTGTATAATGAAGACGGTGTTATCGTAGTTATCATGGTAAACATATATGTAAAATGATCTTGAACGGATCATGGTGGTCTATACAGACTTTGTTTCAAGAAACAGGCGAAACAAGCCTCTCAATGAGATACGAGATGTGAAATGAATGAATTAAGCTTAAATGCTTCATGCATATTAGGGCATGTGTGTAATAAAGTTAAGAATACTAATTAATATTAGTTGTATGAAAGTTAATTAATATATGAATTACTAATTCATAAGACCTTTATGGAAATTACAGATGTATACATGTGACCAAAATACTGCGCAATGATTTTAAACAATTATACTTACAAATCTTCTAATTCAGGAAGAATATCGCAAAGGTTGTCCGGTAATCTTTTTATATTGTTCGTCCTCAAAATTCTAGATGAATGTGAGAAGAATAAGAGTATATTAGGTTAAAAAATTACTCAGGAAAGAAGACGGGAAGGGACTTGACTAGAGACAAGCCCCCCCCCCATTTAGGCTTCGAGCTACATACGGCCCTGGCTAATATTTGAGGGAACTTTTTTCAACACAAGGTTACAATGTATCTTGCTACAATATTTACGCGTGAGAAGAATAAGAGTATATTAGGTTAAAAAATTACTCAGGAAAGAAGACGGGAAGGGACTTGACTAGAGACAAGCCCCCCCCCCCATTTAGGCTTCGAGCTACATACGGCCCTGGCTAATATTTGAGGGAACTTTTTTCAACACAAGGTTACAATGTATCTTGCTACAATATTTACGCTTAAGAAGAAGTGACTGCTGCTTCTTGCAGTGCTTCAAATCGTTCCGGAAAGTTCTATTCATTGAATAATGTGTAGTAAATACTTACAGGTTTTCTAGTTTGGTTGTTCCTGTGAGATTTGGAAAGTGGTTTAGGCCAAAATCTGACAATGACCTAAGGAAACGAACAAAAATATTTCAGAACAACTCAAGGGATTGAAGTGCAAGTTAAACAATGATAAATTTGATTTCGGTTTTCTCTCACATCTTCTGAAAACTTTTATAGGTTAGAAGTGATGTCATGCATGCATAAAACCCAGTGGTGGTTAACTCAAAATCCAAATCGTGGAATCCATTCGTTCTTTGTGGTACATGAATGAGTTTGCTTTGCACTTGCATGGTTGCAAATATATGCAATCTTGGTCATTTGTGCTCCATCACTAGTCACTTAAATCACTAAATAAAAATTCTTAGTGCAACCCACCAATTTATGCATGCAATAGCATGAAGGATTTTTCTTTTTGAAAAAGAGGCGAAATAGTATTCTGGAAATATCTTGTGTGGTCAAGAAATGTACATTACTTACAGGGTGTCAAGCTGAGGCAAGTTTGCAAAGGCCCTTTTCCCAATTTTACTCGCTTTTCCTGTTTGTGCTGATAGGTCGCTGAAACACAAAACAAAAAGTTTTAAAAAAATATAAAATTATCTTAGATAGACCTACACTGAATGAGAGCTCCCCAACAATAACTTAATTCTTATTAACCGAGTGAGCTAAAGGTCTCGATATTTCTCAGGAGAGATGAAGAATACACTGGATTTTTTTTTAAATCCATATGATGAATAATATTATATAATATTATATAATTGCAATATCCATAGTAAATGGAAACATAATTGGTATAGCATATTTCCGTATTATGGATTTTGAAAATAAATTTCAGTAAATAAGGCAACCATTTACACTTGAAACAAACAAGAAATGGATTAATTTATATTTGCATATTTGCAGGTAATATATTAATATTGGATAATGATACTATATAGCATGTATAATATTATAAATAATATATAATGTACTGTACGAACATTCCCTAAATTTAAAGTGAGTTTATTCCTAGCCGGACAGAATAAAATACTACTTACATCGTTTTTAGGTAATTTAAACCTTCAAATGCTAAATCAGGTATCTCCATAATATTTGTATTTGCAAAACGTCTAAAATGTTAAATAATACAAGATACAACTTGCAATTTCGTTCATAAAAGATAATTAGTGAAATATTTGATCCGCGTTCACTAGGTCCTGATAAATATATGATAGTAAAAATGAAATAACTTGATTTCTACTTACAATCGTCTTAAATTTCTTAATTTTCTAAAAGTTTCAAATTTGATGGTGGACAGGTTTTTGTTATCAGAGAAATCGCTAGAAAAGAAATTTGCATCCTTGGATCAGTATGAATGTTTTACCTATCATATTTCTTTGATATTTGGTTATTGCATGATATCCACACAAGATTTGTGAGCTTCATGCATATGTTACCAGTGCTGCTCATGCATATAGCAGTGAAAGGCTATATTTCATTCAAAAATTACTTATTTTTCGCATTCCATTGCTATACATATAGTCACAAATATTCCATTGCAAAATATATATACTCACAAATATAATAAACTTTCGGTGTTATTTCCAGGAAAATTTGGATGGATGGACTCCAAACGATTATTATGTAGTATCCTAAATGATCCGTAAAGTGTATTTATTATTTGATGAAGATTAAAACTATACCTTAACAATATTGTGCGTTAACACGTATGTTTTGCTATGTATTGCGATTTGATAGTCGATTTTAGTTTCAATGACAAAACTCATCAAAGGCAGAAACGTTTACATATATGACGTATTTCACGGAAAGAAACATCCAATAACGAATCAAAATGACCCGGATCTGAGCGGTCATCTGTCGATCTTTATATATATTACATATATATTATACAATCTTATTTGTGAACGCCAATATCAACGCAAAATTGAATACCAATGAATATTAATAATTCTTTGCAAATACATTCATACTTACAATGACTGAATATTTTTAATATATCCGAGAGCATTTTCTGGAATCTCAGTTATTTTGTTTGAACGAAGATACCTAAAAGATTCAAAGATATTCAATTCAATTATCCAAAAATAAGCTTTCGTCAAATTTTATCAAATTCATATTGCCGATGCATGGAAGCAAAAGTGAGAAAATGGCATGCGTTTATTTCCAGTAAAGATGAAACAAAGAGCCAATTTTGCAAGATAGGTCGGTCAATTTTTGAAATAATCAAACATTTGAATGCAGAATCCCTCTTTCTCCCTCGTTCAAGCACTGATCCTAGTTACCAAAATTAAAATGACGATACAAAGTATTTCTTACAGTATTTCTAAATTTGGCATCATTTTCGGTCCAATAAAAGGAAACTTTTCGAATTTGTTATGATCCAATTCTCTAAATAACAAGAGAGAAGAAATTGTCGTTATAAATCATTCACAACAATTAGGAATTGATGGCAAATTCATGAGACGCTGAGGCCGTTATAACAATGTGAACTTTCCGAACATCGTGAAGGTGTGTGTATATATATACATGTTTATTCTTGACGTCGTTTTTCGTTTAGCTCATATTTTTCATCATTCAGATGTATTGTTTATCTGATTAATTATGTTTTCGCTCATATTGCTTTATTTGCATGCACACAAAATGAACTTACAGAGATATCAACTTTTGCTGTTTCCAAGTGGACGGAATTTCCGGAATACAATTATTCTTCATGTACCTGGAAATAAAGAGTTTGATCAATAACACCTTTACGATCAATAACACCTTCTTGCTAAACAATAAGACTGTAAAAACATAAAAAAATCGTGGCCTTGGTGCTTTAGCCCTCATTTTTTGTAATCAGGTATTTAAAAAAGGGAATGCCCTTGACTATGGGCTGGATTTTTAACGAATCATACATTTACTGTCACTGGAATATTGCATTGGAGATATTTTTCTCAAACGTCCCCCATCAGTTGTTTAGGAGTTCGTTGTCGGACTTAATAAAATGTGAGGAAATTTGCTTTGAAATTTATTAAAACGTAAGTTAGATTTTAATATACAGCAACTAATCTATCAGGGGTTTTCATTTATGATTACCACGGCATTCGACAGAATTGGCGACCGAAATTTGTATAAGAGATATCTTGGAAGAATATTGTATGAATATTGCATTAAATTTACAATCACCCTTTCTACCCTCAAAATGATGTGATTTTGTCTTGACAACGTAGCTAAAAACTAGGAAAATATGCCTATTTAGTAAAACATACAATACGAATGTGATTATATATAACTTACAGAAGTTTCAAATTGGGCATTCTTGACAACGCGATAGCTGGTATTTCCGTGAATTTGTTTTGATTTAAATTTCTGTTTAAACAAAATACAATTATGAAGTGAGAGTTGGTTTGAACAACAAATCTTTAAAACACGATTTTAAAAGGGAGGAAATGCATGGGGCTATATTTTTTTTATCAGCAAATCATATATCTCTGCAAATTATAAATGAACCATGTTATTAAATTTGCCTTTTGTTTATTAATAAAATGTAACTGCATTAGAGAAGTTTTCCAAAGAAAATTAAATAAATATGATTATTTTTTTACGAATAAGCAGCGGGCGGAATCCTAGGCTTTCCTGCGATCTAATTGGCTGTAGCAGCAGACAGAATTTTACGATATCTAACCCGGTCCGGAATCCTATATTTTATGCTCAATTAAGCGACAGCGTAATGTTTGTTTTTCTAAAGATTTACTCGCAAACTTTTGACTTTTTTATTTCAAATATATGGACCAAATGATTATGACGATAAGTTGAAGTGAATTTTTGTAAATTAGGTTTTGAGGTTTTGATTGTTTGTTCTTTTCGCTACTGCTAAGTCTGACTGCACAATTATAATACCTACGACCGAACGCCGCTTTTTGTAAAAAAAAATAAATAAATACGGTATTTACCGTTTCATCGGTCCAGATAGAAAAATATTTCCCCTCGGTCTCAAAAACGTCCCTCAGCCTGCGGCCTCGGGTCGTTTTTGATACCTCGAGAGTCGGGACAATATTTTTCTATCCAGAGATCGCACCCGGTAAATAACAAATATATCTTAAAGATTCAAATAACGATAAACCTTATAAAATCAGGTATGTATTTTGAAAAATAGAGTGTGTAAGTGATAAACGTATTCCTAATAATTGCGAAGAGGTAGTAGATGGAGGTAGATAGGGAGAATACGGTACATACAGGTCCTTCAGCTTTCCCATCGTAATGTTCGGCTCTGGTAGGTAACTGAGCTGATTTTCACTTAGATCCCTAAAATAAATATGAATAAAAATAAATATAAACACAAGACAAAAACTTGTTAACCTGCCTTATCAGTGGGTGTTTCGTTAATGGAAAGTCAACCGTACATAGCTACTATCCAATTACAGTTCCGAAGAACAGGTGTTGCATTTAAAGAGATTTGTACAGATATCTCTATTCCCTCGTTCTTCAAACGCAAACTTGTATCTTTACATTGGAGTAAGAATCAGAAAAAGGACATAGGACATACGACATTACGACTGTCTTTGTTTCAGGAAAATTTTCACGAGTTATTTCATAATATTAGCGTAAAAGTTAGGTCTATGTAGCGCACGAATTATTTTTCTTCGTTTAAAATGGCGAGGGGTTGCTGCATGCATGTATTTCTAGTATACTAATGAATGCCTGCAAACAATTTTCTCGTAAGTATCTTAACGTGTCAAAAAGCATTAAAACAAAATCCGTTGTGAATCAATTGCTGACTGACCCCCACTCGGAATTATGGTTTAGACCTAAGAGTAGATACCCCATAGACGATACTTTATCAGACGCATCTGATCAGCTAATCCTGGGGCAGGTATAAACATTTAAAAAGTTGTCACCGCGAGGGAGAAGGGGTTCAAATTGGCAGATGGTGGGAGTTTTCGTGATCGTTTGGGGGGGGGACAAGCTATATAAGGTCCCTCATTTCCTTAGGGCATTTTGCATGTATGCCGGTTATACGAATGAGTTGAAAAGAGTTCAATAGATTTAGAGCAAATGCTAGAGTATATTGTATACTTATAATTATTTCAAACTTTAATAGATCAATACTTAGTTTCCTGCTGATATAAAAGACTATAGATCTTGTCACTCAGACCTCGGATTCGAATTTTTTTTCATACCACTTCAACATAACGCAAATGTTTTGCGCAACACAGTCATGTTCAATGATACATAATTAAGGGCCGCAGACAGCTTAAAAATCAATTTTCAGTCGCCAAATGAAACTTGGCAGCTCCCTTTTGATCTTTAGCCTTTATCCCGGCACGGTGTTGTATCCCTCGTATACAAATTGCTAAAATCTATGCTTAATTTGCTTGACAACCCATCGAAAGGGAACATGCTGAGTATTGAATATGACCGCTATTGGCAGAATTGCGTAAGGCCAGACGTAAAATTAGTTAATCCAAGTATGGTCGTGTGATTACCTGAATTTGTTCGCCTATATTTGTAGCATCTCACTAATTACGTTAAATGCTTCAACATGTGTTAATGTTGTGAATAGTAATTATGCATAGCGCGCGGTATGCGTTGTCGCTCGTTAATTTCCGACTGGAATTTGAAACCGCTAAAAATGCAAATTTCACCTTGCTTTAAGGTCAATGAAATATAGTTGACTTTTCGATAATGCCATGGGTAATGTGAACAAAAGAGATTTGATGATGCAAAGGATTAGTGCATTGAAATGATGTATTGTTGGAAATTAATTAAATACTTTTCTCCACTCACTAATCTTCATTAATCCTCAAGGTTGCAAGCAACCTCTTTTCTCTGGCCTTTTTAAGAAAAAATTCTTATAATTTTTCTTAAAATGCGCTGAAAATAAGTTTCGTTTTAAAGATTATTCATTAGCTTGATCTCCTCACGGTGATTAATCATCGTTGATTTTCATCAAACGTAGTATTAAAGTCAACATCATGATTTTTCATTCTTAATTGCTTTTAAACTCAGAAATACATACAACGACAATTTCAATTAATCCTGATTAATCTTTTAACTCGAACGGTTCATATTTTAATACATTTCCTGATGGACAGGCTTCAGTTTTAATTGCATTAAAGTAAATCCAAATAATCGCCATATTGGATACGTCTCAAAGCAATTATTTGCTCTAATCCAATTGATTTAAGCTCGTTTGACCAAGCTGCAGAGAAATGAGACACTTTAAATGGAGTTTTTTTTTAATAATAATCGCGTGTTTAATTTCAAATATTAATCTCGTACGAATGTATCACAATGCAGACAAAGATATCGCCGTGATCTTACACTTCCACGATTTCCCATTTCACGTTTCGACGCCACTTTCACCTACTCGTGTTGTTTCGTATAATTTATTCAACAGTGAAATTGTCTGGATTATGCTTTGCTCATCTTTCAACAACATTCTATAATGTACGTCAATGATGTGTAAACTGGCTCATGTCCATGGCTATTTAAGAAGCAATGTTATGGTTTGTCATCTGCAGATAACCAAATGTACATTTGCTGTGATTGATGATCATTTTCATACATCAAAATCCATGATTTTGTTCATCATTTTCAAAGATCAAAATCTTGGATTTTGTCCTTAAACAGCTAATGATTCAACTTAAAAATAGGCAAAGGGCATAACCTAAGCCGACCGCGGCTGGTTACTCCTTTTCCCTCTGTGCAATTCAGAAGCAGAAGACAGAGAAAAATAAATGAAAGAGAACCAATTTGCCTGCGGTTTTGTGCTTATTCACTGATTGGAGCGGTTGTGATGGGCGTTTATTTAAAGTCATAAAATAGTCTTTCTTTTAATGTAATAATGACTCTCAAAACATCGCACTAATCACAATTTTTAAGCAGCTCTTGGATTAACAATCCATCTGTAGATTATTACCGCCCTTGAGGTATTTTAAGGTTCCATTCCTAATGCTTTCTTATCATGTTTTGATGCTTTATTTCGTTCGCTTCAACTCCAGGATAAATTACGTTTCTGAAATCTTAGATCTTGGCATGGGTTCAATTTTTCACGACATAAAACTAAACGTGAAACGTCTTTTAGCATTTTCGTGGCCTTTGAACGGGTGTGTTTGTTGATATATTTCCTTAAATATAGGTATGAAAGTAGACTAAAATGTGGGCGGCTATATCTGATCCAAGTTCTTCGTGTTGTATAAATGTACATTGTGTACACTCATGATTAATCAAGATCGTTTGTCAAATATAATAACTGTATTTTTAAACACATTCTTTTGTCCTTTTTGGTTCCTATTGACGTGGTTTCATGTTAATTAACTGACTCGTTTCCATTCAGATTTTTTAACCTAGTAAATGGATGCAAGCGAGATCAGAGCCTGTTTCTGGACTAGTATTTAAAGAGAAGCGGGTAATTCCGGACTTATTTCGGTACAAGAGGATTGTGTATTTACTGTGTAGGAACATGAATATTTTAATGTACACCCCTGTAGAAATTAAGCGTCTATGGACGCCCCTGCACTGTGCACCTGCGCTAAAAATCTGACATTGTCGCACCTGAGTATCTTTGATAAGAGGCGCTGACACAATAAAACAATTTTTTCTTTTCTAATGGTGATGCCACACAAGTTGCCTCTTGCACACTCAATTCCCGACATTGTTTACTCATTATCATTGTCAATATGTTAGCACTATAAAGATATTATCAAGATTCATCAACGAATACAAAACCCTTTCCCATTTTCATTAATCATCTTGTTTACAGCTTTATATTCTTCGCCTCTCTATAGACACACAATATTCATAATTACCTCGTGCAGAATTACCGCAGTTCATATACTGCCTGAAGTAAAATATTTGAATGTATAACTTTGAATGTATAACTTTGAATGTATAAATGAATTGCACTAGGTCCGTGGTTTCTACCAGAATGTTATTCTCCAAAACGGGTTTGCTGATGAAATTTAGAAAAGGACAAGCAGTTACGTACACTTATACTAAATTAGCAAAAGAGAAACGTAATGTAACAAAACAAAACACAGAAAACAACATCTGTATATTGTATTTGTTACAGGCAAACAACAATATCCTGCGTCTGTTTTTTTCACTAATTTGATTATTAGGAATCAGTTATTGCAGACCTAAGATTTCTACATGCGCATTCTGTTATATTTATTTATTGCGATTTTACACATGCACTGACTGAGCATCATTACTATAAATGGAAATTTTTACCATTGAAGTATTTCAAGGCGCAACATAGCTAGATTTCAACGCCAATATAATGCATGTATATGAATATTAATTGATGAACATATTGACCAATTTTGGCCTCAAAGATATAAAAAGCAGAACCAGTGGCGTAGCTGGCCAGATTTAGTCATGCGCTATGTAAATGTCAATTTATTCATTTCTTTTGAAATCGATTGCTATCGCAAGTTAATGAACACCAAAATCTTAGCGGAACTAACTCTTCAAGACGGCGACACTAACGGATTGCAATCCTATAAAGTTAGAGCACGAATTGGGCGATTTTACATACACTTATATCTCATACACGTGACTTATATCTCACACACGTGACTAATACGTTAAGTAAATTTTTGATATTAATCATCGCAAAATGAAGTATTTATTCACCGTGAGATGTGTATATCAACAAAAAAAGGTTGCACAAGATACCAGAGAAAATAAAAACTATTGAATTTCCCTTATAAGATGTATCGCAAGTATGCGTTGGTTAGTTAAATAGTTACTAGTGCGAACGTAATTATGGGTTAGGAAGTGAAACATTAGCTCCGTTTATTTAAATCATTTTTTTACGTAGTCATGCCTGTTTATGTGGTTGTGGTTTCGGCACATGGTACCCGGTAGTTTGATTAGGAATTCCTTTTACGTTAACCGGCATATCTTATCATGTTTTTGTCTGGAAAGTCACGAGTGCTTTCCTTGGACAGACGGGAAGTAGGAAACGATCCAATTTTTCAATACGGAACTTTGGCGACCTGGGGCCGGTTAACACCATTTATGGTGGATATTAGCCTATGTTTAAAAATACTTCATGGGTCTTGTGAATGACTGAACCTGCATCTTATGCATTTAATATGCACCTTTTCACTTAATACTACAATGCTTTCTACTGACTCTACTGTGGTAGCCGTGTCTAGGTTTCGCTATTACTCTTATTTTTCGTGGCGCAGGCTTTGTATTCCGCGCGGACAGTGGCGTATTCACAGACCACAGTGTATCAATATAGCTCAGTTTCAGTGTAGTGTATTTATTGAGCCCGAGTTAATAACGCCTAC